AGAAACACCTAGTGGGTGATAGTTCATTGGAGTTTATCTTACTAACTCTTGAACAGTATGGCATAGAACCTTGTCTACAGAAATGATGATTCGCATTTACCATGCGTAAGTTAAAGCTCTTTCTCTGTTACATGGTCATCTTTCCCCCATTTACAATCAATCTATACTCCCACATCTACCCGAATAACTGATACTAAATTCAAGCTTTTCGTATCTCATAACGTACTTTGACTTTTTTTCATTTTTTGGTGAATGGCTTAAACTACAATTGGATCCAACCACTTCATCCGTTGTTAACGGAGTATGAAAATCTTTAGTCCTAATTTTACTTTTACTTTGCTGAACTGTTTAGTTTGCTGATTCTTGCTGAACATCTGGGGAATTTCTCAGTAAACACATAGTGGAAAGTTGTCACTTTTTATTTCCATGTTCAAATCCATATTTTCATAGCTGTATTTTGGTTTGTTATCCAGATGTAGTTGTCTGTTATTTAAATTTCACTTCAAATAGTTGTCCATTTATTATGTATGAGTTCTAATGCGTTCCTAGAACTCCGTCTCAATAATATCGAATGAATTTGAGAAAAATGAAGTTCACTCAGAAACACATTCACACTGACCATTTCAGTTTATATCATTAGAGATAATTAAAAAGATCCACATGGTTAAGGCTAATTCAAAGTCTTTGACGTTTATATCATAGAACTCAGTCCTGTTTTAACACAAAAACCCTGTGAACAGTGAACCAATTCAGTAAAATATAGATACTATTGAATCAGAGTTTGCTGATTTTGAACATATTCAAAAGTTGCTTGATGAATTCCAAATAGTTTTTAGAATAAAATTGCTCAGTAACGACTGGATTCTAGAGATTACTCACCCAAAAGTAAAGTCAACTTAATGTGCAGTAAGACTTCGGATATCTAAGTTGGGTCGTATGAAGCACAATGTTGAAATCAAATGTTATTTTTTTTAACATCATTGGAAACCTCTATATCCTATCTCCAACGCGTGAGTGTTTCGAAATAATGAAATTATAATTACTGATCAAACAGATATCTCTACATCTGAACATTCATAAAGTTAAATGACTAATGTTGATCTCTTACAAGAAACTGATTTACTATAAAGTACCTCTTACCATAGTATATTTTATTCACCTAAACAAAATAAAAAATATCTTGCTCATGTTAAGCTTAAGGTTTGAAGCATTCGTTACATAATATCTATTTACCGAATAGGCAATAATTCGATCAAACATTCAACGAAAGGTCAGGAGATAGGCCACTCAGAATAGAACAAAGTGATCACCATATGTCTTATTCGACTTCAAAATCAGAAAACAGATGTTTTTGATAAAGATCGCTCACTCATTATTATTATTAATGGCTTTATTCAATATTATATTTTGGTATAATATAGAATTCTCAGCACAGGGTATTTCAACAAGTTTCTTACGCAAAAAACAGAAACAAAGACAAAAACGAAAAAAAGGTTTAAAAAAAGACAACCGGAAAACTGTACAACTTTTCAGACTAGAGACATGTTAAGAATGCAGGTTATTGGCTAGGTTATCTCTAACAACCTGTTCGTCTTAGAGTATATTTGCTAGGTAGGGTATTATAGAACTTTTATACTTTTGCTTGCGTGAATGGATTTTAATGTAATTACGTCTCGTTCTACCAGAAGATATACAAGGAGAAAGATATGAGTGAAGGGGATGGTTAGTATTTGATAAGATAACACTTACTAGAAGTTTGCATGACTTTAGATGTCTATCCACAACCATATTAATTATGACCTCGAAAGATTCACCACACATCTTTCTAACTGCCTTCATCACTCTCCGCAACACAGCAAAGTCTTTTCGCAAAAGCCCGGGAAAGAATAATAGAGAACAGTAAAAAATAATAGGTAATATGCAAGAATTGACGAATTGTGAGAGTAAATGACGAGTAATCCCAAGAGCATGAATCTCTTTATATAGCAAGTCAGACGTAAAACTTTCTTCGATAACAATAAAACGTGGGAAGATCAAGACAGATCAGAGGAAAAAGTGACACCAAGATAATTGACCTTCGACACTGTGTTTATCAAAGAGTCTCCTATGGCACAAGCATTATGTGATATCAAAATGGTGTTTAAATTCCGTTCATGTCTCGTGCTAAAGTTAACAGCTTGACATTTAGACGGATTAAGTATGAGACCATTACCAACAGACCAACAACCGATACGAGACAAAAACTCATTTTATGGGATGTAAGGAGGAAGAGATAGGCATACATACAGTGAGATGATCCGCATATTTCACAAAAGTGTTTTCTGTGGAAGATGGCAGGTCATGCAGAGAAAAAAGTGGAATGAAGAGATTAAAGAACAGCTCCTTGTTGTACACCTTCATGAGACAGTAGAGACTCTGAACACTTTCCTCCAAATGCAGTGTACTGTTCCCTTCCAGCGAGGTAGGAACATACCCGATTCATTATCCAGCTGTCAGTGTTGACACTGATTAACTTGTTAAGCAAACGTTGTCTTGGTATAGAATCAAAGGCTGAAGTATAGTCCAGAAAAGCGAATCGAACTTACTTCTCACTTTTTTCTAAGTTGAACACTATATTGTGATGCAGAACAGCAACACCATCTAAGGTGCTTCTTTTGCATCTGTAAGCAAACTGATACGGATCGATATGCCCTTTTATCGCATGTTGAAATGGAAGTATTAATAATTTTTCCATTGTTTTGAGGAAAAGTGAAGTAATTGCAATAGGTCTAAATTTCATATTATTATCGCCAGATACTTTCTTGGGTACAGGGATTATCTTCATCCTTCTCCACATGCTCGGCATGAGATTAGATGGGAAGGATCTGTTAGAGTCGTGAATGGATAACATAGGACGTCAACACATTTTTTAAAAAGGAGGTTTGAGATACCATCAGGTCCTAAACATCGGGATGAATTAAGTGACTGGAGACATCTTCGGACATCAGTTTCAGTGGAACTAGGAACACAGCTATTCTTCAGACCTGTGGATAAAGGGAGCAACACATCAGATGCCTGACGTACAAAAGACTTATTTCAGTCACAAACATTCAGCTGGTTATCGCTCTTAATCTGTCTGTCACCTGTAAATTCTTTAAAGAGTTTCCACATACTTGGAGAGTTTTTACAAGACAGGAGATTTTGGGTAAAAATAGAGTTGAGACGTCTAATCTGTAGGTTTATTAGACCATTTAGCTTACGAACTTCATTAGTTTTTCTTCTTGTACATTCCTTCTCTCACCCTCTGTAATTGTTTTAGTTGTGAAGATGTAAATCAATCAAAACTTGCAAAAATGGTTTCAGTGGGACAACACATATCAAAACAGAATTTAAGGTAACAAGTGATAACATCAGTAGTGTTTTCCAGTGAGTCATCTGTAAATCATTACCAGTTAGTCATATGAAACATGTTTTTCAAATTTCCTTCTGAGCAATTCCTATATTTGAGTTGGTTTGATGTAATAGTGTACTCTTTCCATGCTTTCCATATACTTTAAGTAGAACACGAATTATACAGTGATCCGAGCTAGACAATTGAGCACGTTTACGAGTCACATATATACCCACATCATTAATGAAAACGAAGTCTAGATGAGCATTCAAAGGAGTAGGGAAATCGACTACATTTTAGTTATCTAGTGGCGAAAGAAAACTACAGTCACATGAACTGAAATCACCACATGCAACTGAAAGTGAACCACTGAAGGCAGGAACGGCGAACTCAGTGAATTCATCAACGAAAACAGATAGCGCAGATGATGTGCAGTCTGGAGTCACGTGGATATTGGTAACAAAAACATATTTGTATTTATTCAGATGTTTTGAACGGCATCTTAGAGTTAGACAGTCGACAGTCATTTGAAAATTTGAAACACACATACGGAGATCGACACCAGTTCACGTTTACTAACGTAGCTAGACCGCCACCACACCTCTTTTTATCGTTTGATCGAACCTGACGATAAATTTGGAAATCACGTAGTGATACTAGTCAGTTGTCTTGTAAATCAACTAACTAAGATTCTTGGATTGTGATGACATCACAATTACGATATATATTTTGACTTAGTAGGAATTGCAGATAATCCACTTTGTTGACTAGTGATCAGCAGTTAGAATTTAGCAGCTCGGGAATCGACATACGATTAATATTCATTCTCTTTAATGCATACTGCCAACCACCACAATGTCTTTTATAGTACTTTTTGTAACTTGTGCAGCGAAAGGTCGTAGGCTTTTCATAAAAGCGCCTGTACAGGTTATACGATCAATGGTCATAATGACACGTTAAAACAAGATCAAAGAAAAGATAACCTGTTGAAATAATTGGCTGGCAGAAACAGGTAGCCCAGATACTCAAGCAGGCCGCCAATCTAAGCGTATTAGAGTTATAACTTCCATTGAACTATCAAAGGACAACAAGTCTTTGACAATATGACATATTTGCCTCCCATTCCCTTTTAATAATACACTTCCGATGTAAACATCACTCAGATCCATGTACAACCGACTGACGAGTTGCGAATACGTTGAAATGCATGCCATATGCTCCATTACTAGCCACAATACGTCTATTTTTCCTGAAAAAGATCCCGCATGAACTTCAGGCCGTTAATGAGTAGTAGACACCGGTAATCACGCTTGTCTCAATTGTTCGAAAAAAGAAGCTTATGACACCACATCCTATTCTATACATAGGACCAGACGTAATCTATATCTGTATCAACCGGAAAATGGACAAATCATTTCTTTTATGCCTGTGCAAATCCTGTTAAGTGATGCCGAATATTTCCCCCAACACCTTAGAAAAATAACCTCCCAGATACTAACGGCTATTGTGATAAGACATCAATGAAGTTGGTAGATAATTAGATGAGTAAATTAAATCTCTTTTCAGTGAGAATCTCTCGATTTATTCTTACGGATAGTCACCAACAAAATCAAATTTAGAACAAAATAAATTTCTGCCCCAAATAAGTTCCGTACTACACTATTGTATTCACTTCCATAATTTTAATGCAAAACGTAAAAAAGCTGTTTTCTATACTTTATAACTGTGAAGCGTTAAACTAAAATCAATAGACGACTATGAGGAATACAAAAATATTTACAAAAGATATTATGAAAAATAGAATTTCGCGATGGAATAATAGGAGTTCGCTAGCTAAATTAATTAACGATATGTTAATTCGAATATACACGAAAGTATTGAGTTCATCAATCTCTTAGTAACAGTTGAATGTGTATTTTTCTTATTTGAATAAGACGAAAACCCACTGTCTTTTAAATAAATTATATGATGAAACTCATTTTTATTATTTATCATTGATTATAAAATTGATAAATAAGAGCAATTTACATAATTTATACTTTTGGAAAATGAAAGAATTTTCATTTGGATTCTATACTAATCACCCAATACATATTTTTATGAGTAATTCAAAAAGTACATATATCAATTATTTCTCTCTACTCAAATTAAAGTTATCATGTAAACAGAGATGGAGGGAGAAAAATAATTAATGATTATTGACTGCTACCGATGTTAGTCATAACAAAAATATTACAAACATCTAAATAATGACATAAATATTTATTCTTCTTGAAAATATGAATCTTAAATACATTTAAAACAAGTAATAATGAATGTATTTGTCTCAGTCTATATTTGATGAAAGGACTAATAGTGCATATTGGTAACGCTACGCTAGCACTACTTACCAGTAATAATAGTAATAGTAGTGATAGTGAGTTACACATATGTATACAAAAACATGAGCATACATGATTTCAATCATTCTGTTGTGTTTATTCAGCAACAAAGGAGAGTTTGAATAGAAAAGAAGAAATGAAGTACTGAAAGACAGAAACTTGAAAGATACGAACAACCTTCAAGTACGTTAGGTAAATGGTTCTTTTAGCAGAAATTGTTCGTTTACACACACATATATGCTTAAATGGATAGATTAATAGATGCATTGCATTCGCTTTTCATTAATCTGTTCGTTCGGTTTTAAACGAGTATTTACAAAATATTATAACAACCATTGTCGTAATCAAACAAAAATGTAAAGATAAAAATTCTCAGTTCTCCATACTCCCTGTCTCTCATTTTTACACATCGGAAATATCACCTGATGAATAGTTTGACTGTTTGGATTCAGAAGATAAGCACTGGTGTTCAGCTTGTTTATTTCCACTTGAATAGTCATTTGTAAACATATTTGATTTTAAATTGGAAAACGCTTCAGATAAATTGATAAGTTTTTTCTTTTCATCGACAATCTGTTCGTCCTCATCCTCATGTAGCTGTGGCCACTGCTGCTTGTCTTCCTTCTTCTTATTGATTCTTTTTCCATCACTTACTGTTTTGTGAACAGAAGATGACGTTAATTGGGAAATTTCTTGTTGATTCATTATTCTACTGTTAGGTGTTTTAATGATGGTAAAAGTTTGCAGTGGATTAGATTTTACAACTGGTTCACCAAGAGTACTCGTTGATGCAGTTGATTCTATTGCTTTAGTCATTGAAATTGTTGAAGTACTTGAATTAGCCAAACAAACTAATGGTGCCACTAACGATGATGAGTCAGTCCCATATGTATCATGTAAACAACCAGATGTATTCACATCACCTTGCTGATCAAATAGACAAACACCTAGTTAAAAGAAACATATGCGTACATATATGGAACAGAATACAATTATAAATAAAAAGCTCACTACATTGACTAAATAGTTATAATTGTTGAGTGATTCCTAAGTTGAAAGCAGTTGTTTCCTCCTATCATAATTAAAATAATTTTATTAACTAACAGAACTGTAAACAATTACCATCTAAAATTATTTATGATAGATTTTCCAAGTAGTAAAATATTACTAAAAACATCGTGTTTTTGTCAACATAATGTTGTTATAACAACTATTATCTTCAAGAAAAGACATGATATATTATTAATTCGTTGCGAACATTCTTGAGGTGAAAGAAGAATAACATATTATTAACATCTGGGGGTGAAATGATAAAAATGATCAATACAGTTCTCTTCCCATCAATTCTGATCACTTTTTAAACATAATAATAATTACCATTTGCTCACTAGTGACTAGCTTCGATAGGAAATTCTAGGAGTACTAGTGAGAAGCTGTGACCAGTGAGGCTAATCCGTGTCGGGCGTAAGGTAGTTACCCACTGAAGAAAATAGAAGATAGTCGTGGAGTTTCGTGGACTGATTGAAGTTAGACATTCACATCGTTAGGCATCTTACCGTCGGAGATGGAAATCCGTTAGGTAAGGCGAGGTGTGCATTTTTAGGGTCGGTCTTTTCTTAACCCACCCCTCCTTGTGAGAAGGCGGCATCGCTGTTATGCTGGTTGTCTGAAGGAAACAACTTACTGTCGTTACACATCTGTACATTCAGCAGTACGACTTCGCCTTCGGACCTTGGGTTTGTTGCTTTTAGTCTTACTGCTCTTCAGCCAACCTTTCTGTCATGGTAGAACCTTGAGGAACGATTGTTCCAACCAGTATAGCTCGATTGGTTTATTGCGATAGGCAGGTTCGACCACCATGTCAAGCTAGCAGCAACGATCGGTCAGATTTAAATTGACTTATTAGTTACTTTTATACAATTTACCACTCCTAATCTGTTGCCAGTGTGTTATTTACTGTCTTCTCTAATCACAGTCACTCTTTGGCATACTCATGTATAATTTCTATTTTTCACCTTATGGTGTGATGTGGTCTGGTATCCCTGTATATAAACTACGTCTGGTTGAAATATAATATTGTGGAGGCTGATCACTAACTTCTGAACTCAAGGACCGGGAAGAGAGATAATTACAGAATAGTGGAACAGTAGGGACTTAACAGTTGACTCAAAGTTACTAGTGCTGAGACGGATTCCAAATGGTGTTTTTTCAAGTGATATTAGTGGGTGACCATAAGACACGAGTTTTTTTAATCTGGATGATGAGATTCGATTTTCTTAAAGGATATTATTTGTGATATATATATATATATATATATATATATATATATTATTTCGCTGGATAAATTATCAGTAAAATTAGCAAGTATTTTAAATAATTCGTGTCAAATAATAACGCCTATTATTAAATTTTTCAATAATATGACAACTCCATTGACAGTTTACTTGGAACAAAAAGAATCTTCAATTAAATTTATCTTTCGAATGGAATTGGTATCAGTATTATATTATCAGTAATATATTTTTGCTCTCACTTCAATCATATACACTGTATAAAAGGAACTTGTTCTTAAGAATTCTGAGTTGTTTGAACTGAAAATATAAATAATCTCTACAAAAATATTTTGTAAGCTAAATGCTAGTTGGAGTTTTTTTAAAAAATCCAATGGGAAAAATAACTAGAAATGTTTGATCGTGAATTTCATTCACTTAGACAAATTAATCTGGTCATATGTAAATGTTGTTTCACACACAACAAAGTTCACTATTTTTCCTCTAAACGTATTTACCAAATACAATTTTATGACGTCAGATTTGAACCATGTTGTTTGGTTGGGTGATTAGTGATGCTACTCAGTTGCCCGAACTGACCATAGGTAGAGTGAAGTTTGAACATGAGACCTATTGGTCGTAAAACGGTTATCTTAACTAACATTAGCTTTTCTGTTTATCTTAGAAAATCAACAACGATGGACCTCAAAAATAAATATCATTAAATAGACAATAATAGTTATCCGACAGATAAATATTTTTTTGTACAATATTTAACTTTAATTTAAAGTAAGAGTTTATCAGTAGTTATCATTCTAAATCATGCTTGATTCATTATTCCTTCAGTGATTTAACTGTGAAGTAGTCACGAAAACAAAATGAATAAATCATCTTACTAAATTTATGATTCATTGATAATGTCTAACCATTCCAGACGTGATCAATCAACTTAAAAGATTAATAGATATTTTTAATTAATCTAATTACTTCATATTCATTATCCCAAAGAAAATGCTGATATATAAACTCAGAAAAAACACAATAAATAATTCACATGTGAAAAAACTGCATCATTCTGAATTAGCTGAATAAGTAGTATGGTACTATTTAGGTTACCAAACATCAGTTCTTGATTTACACTAATTATTCTCTAAATAGTAGTAACCAATGTCATGTTTTCTTAATCGAAATATATTCAATATAAACACTAGCCTAAGTAATTCAAAACCTTTGATTCAAATCCTATAGAGAGTATCAGGTCTATTAAGACTGTAGATGAGTCCTGCTGACGAGTGCCAGCTAGCAACAAAACACGCGGTTACTTACACTTAAATGATTCATAATTTTAAACTTCAACATATTATTTCATAAAATATGACCATAACTAAATCTTATCAGTTAACATTCTCTTCAAATCCTAATCAGGTTAACCACACAAGTGATGACATCCAAATGAATTTCCGATGATTCATTCTACACCAAGAATATAGCTGAGTGTTGAATTGTTTTCAAATTAAATCGCAAAATATAAACAACCGAACTAGAACCTAACTACCAGATGATAATAATAATAATGGTCTGTCCACCTTCAAATATGTACATGTTAATATCATGAACTTATAAATATAACGAGCAATTGGTTAGAATTCTACTCAAAATTACCTGGGCGTACACTTTCACCAATCTTACCACTGCTATCCTTATTAGTATTACTATTGTCATTGTCATTTATAAACTTTCTTATTTGCACAGGCGGTGATTGTTCAGCTCTTTTTGTTCCAGTTATTACATTTGTACTGATTCGTTTAACACTACTACTGCTACTATTTAAGTGCATACCACGTGTATTTGCCGGATCAAAACGGTTGTTGACAATCATTGTGTGTTGGTTATTACACATATAATTTTTACTACCAACAATGCCATTGTTATAACCAGTACTTGTGTTGTTAGCTAAAAACTTTTCGCGTATAAATTGAGGTGGGAAATCAAGCAAACTGTAAAAAAAAAGAGAAAGATGTAGGAAAACAAAAAACATTCCCTATATATATAAGACTACATTTCCTGTGTTTACCTTTAATCAATAGGTCTTATTGTCTTTAACCAAAAACCCTGATATGCATTCCAACATAACTTTAATTGATGTGCTGTTTCGAGACAAATAAATCATACACATCCTAGCCACTTCGGTGGACGTGTATCCATATATATCACCTCGACCTAAACGACATTAGAAAAAAGTTGACGAGTAGTTAGGGAGCAACCTAACAACACAAACGGTATAGGTTGTGATAAATAAAATCACATCTGGATTGACTTAGAGTTAGAATCAAGTAAAACAATATTTATCAAATGCTAACGGCTGAGCAGCATGAAGTTTCAATGCAGAAATCAATGATCAGAGGGTGCTGTAAAAAGTGGCTACATGTACTTAAGGCAGAAGAGGTAAGTCCAGCTTTAGATACACAATCGCTCTCAGCCAAAAATTAAAACACGATAACATCTTGGGCATGGAAACAATAATTAGTTCTTAATAACCTCCACCTCTTGAACCTCGACAGTTAATCTGCCTTCAAAATATACGAAAATGTTCGCAAAACCCCTGTCTCTATTGAAGTCAAGAGTATAACTGAAGTTATACTTCTGAATAGACAGAAACACACCGAATTCGACATATAAATATTTCCAATAACTTACGATGCGATCTTCCGTAGTTTCGTTTGTTCAACGACTGTTTTACCACGGGACAATAATTGCCGAGCTGTCATACAACGTATATGATCTTCAAATAGAAACTTTGCAACCATAATCGGCGATTTACTATCAGTATTATTAATATTACTGAATAATCGTCCAGGACTGGAATTTTGACAGGTTAAATGACCAGGCGCATGAATGGTCACATGAAGACAACGACTATCAGCTGGATCACAATGAGATTCCAAATCCTATTTATGCAATAAATTAAAAAACGAAATAAAACAAAACACTAGAACTGTGAAATCATCTTGTTCATTTAGAAACCAATTTTAGATAAAGTGCACATTAGACTGAGGGAAATCTTTGTTATGTTGTAGTAATATTATTAAAGACTTAGTTGAACAGGTTTTGTAGATTAGTTTATTATTATAAAAACTGGTTTACATTGTCGGTTATTATCAGCCTGGGAGTTGATGAACATCAAGTAGCACTGAACAGTTGCTCCATTCTCGTTCAGGAACTCTCCATCAACATTATACAAAAATTAGTTTAAGAGTGAATAACTTTTGGTGGAGTTTTGGTCACGAACAAAACCATCCAGCTCAGAGAACAAAACTCCACCAAAACCATCCACCTGAGCTACAAATCTTCTCCACCATCTCAGAGTGAATAACCAATCCTACATTTAGAGATGAATTAATTGATAAAAACGTTTTAACAAACTAAACTCAAAGATGATGAAAATTGAAAGTTAAGTAAAAATAAAATCGTATAGGATTTGATTCGTTGACTCAAGTCATCATCAGAGTAACACTTGTCACGAATGTACAACAACCCAAGTTGTCGTATACCCCACCAGTACAGTGAAAGGAAAATTAACAAAACAAGTACTTAAGGAAAAAAATTAATTAGTTTCAACTCCTGTGCAAACCAAAACGATGAAAGAAACATTTCGGATGAAACAAACGAGATTGGAGATTGAAAGGTTAATCATAACACTCAAATACAGATTTAGAACATAAATAATGAATGTAGCTGTAGTAGTGCAATCGATTTTGCACCATGCATGAGACACTTGATTTAAAGCATTGTGTAGACATTGACTAAGGTGTCAGTACTACTGACTTGGAATTTTACCGACTGAACATTGGAATCGAACTAACTATGTATTAAGTTTACTTTGAACATCAGATTTTGTCCATGACTTTATCAAGTGAATGCGTTCATGAATATATAAGACAAAATCACAGTATTTTTGCGAAAGAAAAACAAACTAGGAAGTCTTATATGTCATAAAGAGAACCAGTGAATAATGAACATCTAGGTATTGAGTACAAAAAGAATTAATTTTATGGATCAAAATGTAGAACGACAATTGCATTTAATAACAAATATATATTTTTTTGTGATATCCCAATAAGTAGAAAATTGTCTTTGTAATTTACTGACACCAAGATTAATAATCGAAGATTTGTTTACTATCTATCATTCTTGTTCAATTGTTCAACATGAACTTACAAAAATTAATTTAATCAGTTTCATTCAATAATAATAGTAATTACTTCCAATTTCTTCCAGATTCAATCATTTTTTTCAAAAAAAAATCACTTAATCCGAATATAAATACATTCAGCTTAAGACTGGCTTTTTTTCTAACTGAACACTGATAGAATGCAAAGTTTTTGATCTCATTGAGCAACAATGCGACCATGTGTCGGATCCACTTACCTTAATACAAGATTTAGCTTCAGAACAAGTCTATGTTAACCCCTGAACTAGCAATAGAGATTGAAGTAGTTGAGCGAGTTCACCACTTTAAGTCTTATCAACCCACGTAGGTTGGTGTCTGCAGAAATCATGGCAAGGATTCAAAAAGCCTTTTTGATATTTGCCAACTTGCGTCACTTGTGGAGTAGGTGAGATATCCCTCTCCCATCCAAAGGATGTGTAGACTGCGCAGAAGCCTTTTATTAATTTATCGTTATGAAACATAGTCTATGAAAGTAGAAGACACAAGTAGGCTGAAGATTTCTAATCATCTGTCTTCAAAACACTTCTTGACTCTTGTGGAACGACCGAGTAAGAAATTTCGAGGTTAAGTACAGGCTATTTGGCAAATGTGGTGAATTGGTTGACGAAGTAGAAAATCTCTACGGAATGTTTGTGACATCAGTCCATGATGTCATAAACTTTTCAGGTGATCCGAAAAGACAGTTTCAAACTGTTTAGCTGGGATATGGGTGACAACTGCGATAAGTGTTTTGAGACGCTAGAGCACTAGAGTAGATATATTCACTCCTTATCTTCTTCTAGATGTTGAATTCTAGTATCCCTTCATGAATAACTTTCTACTGTCTTTTGAAACCGTGTTACTAAGGTTTAGTTTTTTTTTATATCATTGCTAACACGTTATTTCGATCTCTTTGTTCATTTATCTCATCCTGCTAATATGGCACGGCAACCTGGGCAAATCCACATATGTCAGGCTCTACATTGATGATGCTTGTGGATCATTTTACGTTGACCTTTCGTTCTAAACAATTTCACCATTTGTAGTGTTGTCAAACTACTAGATTATTCAACGGACAAAGAAATCTGGATTTGATTCTTAAGAAAGCATTTAAAATAAACCGCTGAAGAACTACAAACAAGGACGAAATGGCTTTCGAATGCATATTATTCCCCAATTATACTCCTCTTGATATCACTGAGAGAAAAACTAACTTTAAACTGAGTAATGTTAACAATCCGTCTACTTCAATACATGTATATAGGCTTGATTTATAGACCGATTGTTATAGATAGTAGATAGTAGTAGATACTGAGCACAAGTTTCAGTATGATATATCAATACTGGGATAGTGGAAGAGTCTCAATTAGGACGGAACGATCATCTGAGACTTCAGTCCCATCCTTTGCCCAAAATATGACACTTGGAACAAATTCATATGGTTCAGTAATTAAAAATTTCATTGAAATGCTTTAATTAACAACTTGATATGTCATAAGTAAGCAAAGACGATTAATGATGGAACTCAGTAACCAAGTAAAGATTCGTAAAATCGTTGGGCAATTTTCATAGAACACCTAGTGATATTGTCAAGCTTTTTAAACTGGAATTGATAAGATTACGTTCGAATCCAAGATCCAACAGTAGTAATTTACTTATTTTAATTATTAGGTCCCCTTTCCTCCTACCAATCAAATATCAGTTTTTCCTCGTTCATTTGGATATTATAGCGTAAAATTTCTACAAAACATTAGCAAAAATATTAGTTCTAAAAGTATATAAGAAAAAATACAACAGCAATTATAATTCCCTACAATTATCACTGAAATGGAGCGGTGGCTTGGAAATTGAAACACTTAACTTTCAACTGTCAAGTTACAGATTTGAACACCGTTATGTATTACGTTAATTAAGACAATGTGGAGTGATGACTACATGAAAGTTCACTTGAACTATCACTCACTTAAGATCAGTATTCTATGAAACAAGAGACATGCGAACTACATGTCACTACGTAACCCATATTACATAGACGTTAAACTGGCAAACCGCACTTATTCTGTATAAATATGAGCATTACTCAATTCATCAATATGAGATTCATTAGATGACATTTGTTTAAACTACCTATTTAGTTGATAGAAGTTAATTACTGAAAAAAGTGAACTACAATTGCGAATATAATAACTATGTATATATTTACTAACTTGTAATGGTCCAATAAATGTTATGACACCCCAACCAAGTTGTTTTGAGTCAGGTTTTACCAGAACCAACTGCTGACCACAACTAACTATAAAACGTTTTTCATGACTATAATATATATCAAGAAAGAAATATACACAAAGTTAAAGCACCTATTATTCATGAAAAAAGTCAAAAGAAAAGCACCAATCTCAATGTGATCATTCAAACAACAGTTTGTGCAGATTTTTGAATTTCATGTTAGTTTTAACAAGTTGATATCTGTTAGAGAGGTATTGATAACCTAAGAGTACCCAGCAATTCTTTTTTCCAAATGAAAATACAAAAACATAACCATGAACGTGACAAAGTAGAAGAAAATTATCTCAGTTATATGTATACTACATATTAAAAATTCCCATAACTTTGCTTCGGCACTAAACATCACTTTTGTTTCGTTGAATGCCACAACCAATCAGGTATAGGTTATTAGATATTTCTTCAGTTAGAATAACAGTGCGGCCTTCTTGACATGCGCATTCAGTCAGCATCAACGTAGAACTTCGTACGTACGTACATTGGTTCAAGTTGCCATACCACATTAGCACACAGATACAATTGTAGATTCAAATTCCGTAGTGGTAGAGGTAGTAAAGGTATAAGCAGTAATCAGAAGGATTAGGGTTTGAAGATGTTATTCAAGGAGCATAATACAGTGAAGTAAATTTGGAAAGAGAAAAAAGGGACATGAAGAATTCAGAAGATTAGAATTTGGGAGAATACAAAGTGGATACACCTGCGCCATTGCAAACGATTTTGAACCACGTCATTCAAGGTCTCTAACCATCAACATGCGCATTAACCTTCAAGCTATTGAACTAAGTACACATCAATACTATCCGTTTAATTGAAATTAATACTTGGGATGCATTATTAATTGATTTAATACCAGTTATTTTACACTAAGACAGGAGGTTATAATGTGAAGAGACAAAAGAGTATTATATATATAGCATTAGAATATTTCAGATTGAAGAGTAAATTGTGCTGAAATTACAAACGCCAGTTATTAAATTGATGCATATGGATTTGATGAATACCTTTTTGTCAAGAGAGCTTTATTTGTTATATATAAATCGGGCTAATAAGCCTTAACTAACAGTTCAACAAAATAATCGATTTACAATCGAAATCATACAGCAAAATACGGAATCACACCGACTTTATGCATCATGAATTCATGAGACAAGAGACTGTACAAATCAGAAAATCTATAAAAATACAGGATATATAATTGACAATCGAGCTACCATCGATACTAATACAACTCTAACTCTCTTTGTGTTCATTTGCACCCGATTAATGTTCAAGTTCAATCGTAAGTTTATTTATTTATCTAAACACATAAACATTGGTACAAGGAGACGCCAAATATATATGCGCCACATAAATAATTCGATGTGTGATGGCTGAGATACTGTCCGGGTGCCCAAACCGAAACAGGTGGTTTTCCTAGGGGGCCACACCCGGAGCCTACGACCTGAAGGTCTGATTCATAAGGCAGTGAAGCAACGTTAATTGTAAGTCTTAATTCCTTTCCGTTATTCACAAACAAACCGTGAAAGGAAACGTCTTCTTAAGGATATCTGAAATGTAAACTGCGCTATGAGTGGTTTTGAAAACCACAGAGCATGACAACAGTGCTTGATAGATAACTGCTAGGGGATTTGTTTTTAAAGGTTTAAATGAATTAGCTTCATACTTTAAAGGCCTAATCGTAACCAAAGGAAATCCATAGGCCAGTGTGAGGTGTAATAGTTTTAGAGTCAACCTTTTGTAATCCCATTTTTCCATCGTGGGAAGGCATCATTGCTAAATATCCTCATTGTTTGATAGGAATACTTTATTGTCATCTCACCTCAAAGCAGTCGGTAGTACAGCTTTCCCCTCGCAACTTAAATCTGCTGCTTATATATACACATAATTCTAAAAGACGGAAGTCATATATACCATGTAAATTCCCCTTTATATAAACGCGCATGACTAAGAGAAATTAATATCCATTAATCACTTTTTAAAATATTCAATCTTTATTCGTTTTATTTATTAGTCCTCTATGAGAATAACAACAGTATATCACACTTTTCCCTATGAAAAACCAATGATACACGTTAAAGTTAATTTTATAAAACTATATTTTTAGTACAAACAAACTTACGCAAAAAGGATTAAGATAAAAGACAACACATACAACAAGGAAAATTCTAATGATAAAAGATTTTATTGAAAAAAGAAATAAACAGTGAATAGGAATTACGGATACTTACATGCCAGAACATTCCACTGTACATCCAATCAGTGTTTCAGAGACTAAAGTAATAATAATAATATTGACCTTATTAAAAATGAAAATCCAAAATAATAAAGTTGGAGATGATTATCTGCCATGAATACTGATATTACTGAGAGAAGTATCAGATTGCTTTTGTATCTTCATAATTCCAAATGACTTAGTTAAATTATATTTATAAAGACTTATATTGTCAAAGATTTACCAAGTGTTTTAATGACCTAATTACTATTATGATGACAGTCACCAAAGTAGATAAGCATAATAACTGTAATCTACCGAAAACTAACAGAAGTTGAGAATGTCGAGTATCGGGTCACACGTTGAAAAATCTCTCAAAAATCTGTAACTGAAACCAAATTTGTCACATCGAGCTACACATTTAGTACTTTGAGAAATCCAATGATCAACATCTACATCAGTACTAAGTTCTAGTTTGCTAATGCAGCTACTCAGATACACGAAGTTCTTGGCTACTTCCATCTGTTCACTACCCAGGGTGAGTGCAGGATCAAGTTCTTGTCAATCTTGTAAAACCACTTTACACTTCGAAGGTGCAAAGCACATACCATACCTACGGATAGTGATTGCCAACTGATTAAGTGCGGATTGCATAGTTCGGGTACCATTGCACAGTAAGACATTATAATCCACATACTCAAGGTGAAAAAGTCCTTCCCAGCAACAGATCTACACCACCACTACCACTTACATCCATCAGAGCTGTTTCTAGAACTTCTTCGGACGCAAAGTTGAAGAAGAATGGTGAAATTGAGTAACCCTGTCTAACCCCACTGCTTGAATGGAACAGTGTGGAGAGGCGGTTGTTGCCCTCACTTTGCCTGAGGTGTCAGTATATAGGGCTTGGAGAGCAGGACAGTCTGATCGATGTCATAGGGGCAGCAGATCAGTCGAACTGCTCCTCAAAAAACTCTTCATCGTCCAAGACGTCGATAGATGTTAGTGATTAGTATCCCGTCATCTTCATAGATTGTTTAACTCACACCAGACTACTTGCTGCCAGTGACTCAGATGAGTTGAAAGATATTCCGGCAGTTACGAGATGCAGCTGCTACTTCCAACTCATTAGCAAACTTCGACCACCAGACTTCTCGATACTTACGCAAGCTTCGCCCAATTTCATTGCGCAACATTTATGGTCAAACTCGCGGTCACTCAGAGCAGACCAACAGGCTTCAATGAGTTGTAAGGAGCCTCAAGAAACCCGGTGTTTATAGGCTGGACGTTTAGAGAAGCCGCAAGCGACGTTACTCGCCATTTTCATGACGTCATGCAATTGCAACCAATGCTCATCAACACTTTTCGATGGGATGGTAGCTAGCCCTGAACCTAGCTTGGTTTGATATTTAGTTGCAACAGAAGCTACAACCCATTTACTGACATCGATCCGTTTAGAACGACGAATTTGTTGACCACTGAAAAGATAAAATTAGTGCAGACAAGGGCATGATCAGAGTCCAGATAGGTACTCCAAAAGGAGCAGCAGTCTTGTACACAACTAAGCCATTGGTAGCTGATAGCGATGTGATCAATCTGAGTCCAGGCTTGGGATACAGAGGGAGGACGCCAGGTAGCACATCGGCAGTGGCTGTGTCGGTAGTTAGTGATAGCCAGAAACAGGTTGTGGTCTGTGCACAGCTGCAGTAGACGGTCCCCTTTATCTGTCCTGCAACCAACAAGTCCCCATCGGCCACCTAAGCGACTCTCTTCTGTACCTAGACGCCCGACATGAGCATTCAAGTCCTAGGCTAGTACTACGATATCTGTCGAACGCACTTTCTTTAGAAGAACTGTTAACTAGTGGTAGAACTCATCCTTTATAGCATCCGGGCTGCAATCTGTTGGGGCATAGGCGGAGATGACGAAAAGAAATCGTTTCTCACGCCGATTTCTTCTCACTTTGATGGAAATTCCTAATCTAACAGCACGTAACCGACTATTAACGGGGATCCAATCGATTAGTGCCGCCTCAGCTCTAGCTCTTTGTGTGACACCAACGCCAGTCAAACAAGATGAAGATGCTACCGAGTCCCTGGATAAAAGCATGTGAAACAAGCTTTTCGAAACGAAAGATGAAGAGCGAATCCATAGTATTTCATTAGAGTCTTGAATAAAGATCTCGGATAGACAACAGATATCGATATTGAGACTTTCTAAAGACATAGCCAACCCTATCTGTTGTCCGATCTGTATTAGTGTGCGAACGTTGAAGGAAGCCAGTTTGAATGGTATATGTGATCTCAGTGTTCGTATTCGGTGGTAGCGTTTAAATTCCAACCAGTCATTGACTCGAGATCGTTTAGATAGGATAGGGTTTCCACCATAGGCGAGTTGCTGTATAAGTTGAAAAATAAGAATAAACAAAGTGAGAATGGAAGAGAGTAGATAAGTGACGTAGTATATAAAAGATGAAGATGAATGTTATCAAATGAATGTGAATGTGATTCGTCTGAATTTTAATTGAAGCAAGAATAATAGTTCCAGTAGTAATTGTCATTTGATTTGATTTTTTGTGGGCTGTGATACTGCCCGGGTGCCCAGACTGAAGCCGGGGATAACTACTACTTTACTCATAACATTTCAACTACATAGGCCACACAACTCACTAGAACTAAACTATACATGTACATACATACACTTACATTGCTTTTACTCTGTACATTACAAGACTAGGCTAGAAAACGTAAAAAAAATCTACAATAATTAACATAAGAACTGAACTCACATAGGTCTAGTCTATCTCCTGTCTTTAATGAAGGTGTAGTTGTTTTAGGATCTGGTATACTACAAAATCCTCCTAATCCAGGTATACCAACAAGATTGGAAAACAAATCATTTGGAAATATCTCCGAATTCTGAACTGATAAACAAATGTTATCAGCATCGACAATAACATCTTGACATGAGGTAACATTCATTTTTAAAGTCAGCATTCTTTCTAACCAAATATGTACAATAAGATATATCCCGATTGCACGTTGAATATGCTCACGTTCATTATTCGGTAATCGATAGATTAAATCCATATCATTACATGTTAACATTTGCATCTTATTACTACTAGTAGTAGCATTAGTAGTATGTTTTGTTATCTCGTCTGATTGCTCCAAGTATGATGAATATGGTTGTATTAACAGACGAGCATCTGTAGCTAATGTAGATAGCAGAGGAAGTGCTGATTGAATACGACGTAATTCATTTTCAAACAGGTCTAGAAATATTGCACTAATCTATTTTTGATAGACGGGACCAAATATCAGAAAACAAACAAGTCAAAAAGTTATTTCTCCCAATGTATAATATCCACAGAATTAACTAATAAAAAGAATTATATGATAGACGTTCACAATAAAAATTTCGTAGCAAATTTCTTTCATTATGCAATCATATTAATTGATAAATTAACTGAATGGGAAAAATGAGGTAAAGACTATGGAAAAGCAGTGATCTTAAGCAATTGTTTGACCTCGGACATCCAATCGGAACATTGATATTTACGCAAGTAAGCTTCCCTAAAAAGTTAAAAACATACTACGCTGCATACAGAGAGTCTGAATGATTGTTTGTAAGCTTACCTGTAAGCTATTTATGTTTCAAATTAAACAGTTTTCGTATGAATACTTCTTTACATAGCTTAATGATGTCGATCGTTCAGAGTACTTATATCCTCTAGTAAATAATTCCATTATCAGCTACACATCCCACTCATAAAATTCACGTGGATAAAATACCTTAATCTCAGTACCACATTATGACTATAACAAATCCGATGGTATAGCTGAATTTGCTGACAATGTATCAGGTGATTCAATATACAGTAAAGTCCGATGATGATCTAATTGATCCACAATGTGAATCTCCTTTATTTCAAAAATCGCATTGGGATTCTACTACGTTCAAGGGACTCAATGAGTTCCCGAATTCCAATCCAGGTTTCACTGAAGCGAAAGCAACCCGAGAATTTACTAATGATTGCATATAACAGACTAGCAGATAACCTAAAAATCACTAGAAATCTTTACGCCGTAAAATCCACTCTAATGTAAAAACACTTAGAAGACATGCGTTTAGTTAAACAAACCTTTTAAAAATTAATATCAGTGACTTAGAAAGGAATCTCCTAGAGAGGAATTTTGCTGTTAAAAACAAACCATTGGAAATTAAATCACTTTTTATGGATTATGTGGATATGGTATCCAAAAATAGACCTGAGAAAACAATGGAAAAATTAGTGGAAACTCTGGAATCAAAAACCGAGAAGGTAATTTTCTTTAGACTCAAAACAGTGTTGAGTTAGATTTGGTTCAATTCGAATCTTTTTGCTTCTGACTAGACGAGGTTCTCAGGCTTAATACCACGTTAGTCGATAGTTGCCAACACCACGTATGCTAAACAAGCAACATGAGGGGGCTTGAACATAGCTAAGCAAAGATTATACCTTGGCCATAACTAAGTCACATAAGGGAGTTGCAGCTTTAATGGACAAAACGGAAAACATAGATAAAGTGGATTTGATGCTTAATGATCTTACTAAACTTCAAGAACTTATTGATATTAAAAACATCAATGAAAAAGTAGGCTAACAGATGGCTAGTTCTCTCAGAAAACTTAAAACGAATGAGGATAATTTCATCTGAGATGTCTGATTCATTTAACCAACTGGATTAAACACACCACGACTCAACGGTCTACCTAAATTTTAAAAGTCGGGTCTTTTTCTTTGTTCAGTTCTAAATACATACAATTCTCTATATCGAAAATCGCTAACTGGTTAATTTGAATCCTAGAGCTTCTGAACAAATCAGTCGTAAAAACAAGTGTTAATGACGTTCTTGGCTTCACTTCCGACGTGGAAGGAACAAATGTTAGTAAAGAAAACCATTATTTCTCTAAACGTCGTATCTTTATTTACTAATGTACTACAACTAATCGAGAAAATCGAGTTCATATGTAAACAAATATCAGAAAGACAAAACAGTGGCTCCCCTGAGGATAGTCTAAAAGAACTATTCCTAATATGTTTGATGAACGGTCATTTTGTCGGTAACAATATTTATAATGGGAAAAATCGATGGGATAGCTATGAGTTCACCACTGGACCCGATTTCAGTTTATCGTTTGTTAACAAACTTAGAAAACAAACCCCTCAATGAGGTTTTCGACAAGCTATATCTATACTGCCGATACATTGACAACACATTTATCATCGTAGATCACAATATTCATAAAGAACTTTTAAACTAGTTTAACAGTGTACATCTGGCATTGGTGGGGACGAGTGTGACAACAAATCAGATTTCCTTGACATCTCATTAAGTAGATAAAGTGAGGGCCCTTTAAGCAGAAACGTGTAAAGAAAAATTTCCCGTGTCAATACACACCCATACTATACAAAAGAAATCTAGTTAGATGTCTCACAAGCAGAGCAAAAAAGATCTTAGATGATACCATAAAAGTGTTGGTAAATATTAATAAGCTGACGGTCATAGAGTACCAGAAATTTTTTTAAGAAGTGTATATATAGAAAGAGAAACAAGTTGGAGATATGAACCGATAGTAAGAAACCCCCTTTCCTCAAGTTAAAATTCAACAGGATTATGCCTTGCGATATACTGCATAAAGCATTAGCGATGATAGTTAGATGAACATTTTACGCAACCAATTAAACCAGTGATATCTACTCAAACAAAGTATAAATTCTCCTCTCCGATGTCCATCTATAAATTCAGCTGCTCCCGAAGAGATGGCTATATTGGACAGACTACTAGACAACTTAACTAACGAACGAGTGAACATCTTCCATCTTGACTTTGAAAGGACCAGATGAAGATAATACGCAATTCTACCATGCCACAACTGGTTGACAGTGGTCATAAGGTAGATAAAACTAAATCAAATCAGATGATCTATGATATACCATCGCCGTTTCCCAATGATATTTGATCCCGTCTTCCATATATACCACAGGCAATAGGGATCTGAACCTATAACCCTAGTTTATGTGTTCAGAATAAATTAGTGATACATCTGTCCCATCTTTAGCTGGGTATGAGATGACCTAATAAACGACTTTTTTCACATCCTGTATATGTTTGTCATTTTTCACCTCCTTTCACTTATATGCTTCACTATCCAATTACTTATACAATTCTTATTACGTAATTTTAGTAGTGTTTTGTGATTATTATTTTGAAGTTTATTTATTCAAGTTTGATTTCATGTGTTGAACTGATGAATAGAACCTTTGTTATTTTATTATTCTTAACAGTACTAGTACACCTGTCCTATCATCACCAATTTGTAACTTTTACCTATAATATGTAGTTATGCAATCTATTTCATTGTGACCATTGACTGATGCTGAGAATTCTAAATTGTACTAAATATATAGTATTGAATAAATTTATTATTATCATCACAAATTACCTTGCTTGGTCTAACATTTTCATATAACCAAAACAGATTATGAATTGTTAGGTCTGTCTATCAGAAAGATTGGTATTTTCAAACCCAGTCAACCTGAGATATGAATCAATTTTGAATGTTTAGTTATGGAATGCATATATATATATATATATATATATATATATAATCAATTAAGAAATGATAGCTTCAGATAACCGAACTTGACAAACGTCAACAGACAAAGTGATACCTATTTAAAATATGATTTAGGTGTTTAATCACGAAATGACAATAATGAGATATCTGAGATTCAGTGTGGCACAGAAAAACTGTTTTATTCTAGTCTACGACTTCATAACTCCGCCTGGAGTCCCTCCTGGGGCTGCTGCCGGTCCCAAGCCCGGATAAAGGAGGAGGGTTGGGCATGGAGTTAGCGACCCCATCCCGTAGAAAACTAACTCGCCAAAAAACGCTAACCAGAAAAAATTATTCAAACCTTCTAAACTCTGTCTTGCGAGTCAGAAGGTCTTCATTTAGAAGAACTATGACGCCTCATGATGTAGGCCGAATTCCTTCGGAAGTTACGAGGCCGATGCCCCTTCTGACAAACAGAGCAACCATTTATTCAGGTACATGGAATACTCGTATAATGTGAGAGACTGGGAGAGTCTTCCAAATTACAACCTAGAGGTGCTTGGAATCAATGAAACACATTGGACGCAAGTTGGACGACAACAACAACTAGCTTCAGGGGAGCTTCTGTTATACTCCGGCCATGAAGAAGAAAATGCCCCACATACACAACGAGTTGCATTCATACTGTCCAAACAAGCACAAAACGCACTTATAGGATAAGAATCTCATGGACCAAGGATCATCAAAGCCTCCTTCAAAACAAAGAAAGAGGGCATTTCAATGAACATCATCCAATGCTATGCGCCTACCAACGACTACAATGAAGACGCTAAAGATCAATTCTACAATAGGCTGCAGTCAATCGTCGAGAAGTGCCCAACAAAGGACCTGACCATTCTGATGGGAGATTTTAACGCCAAGGTTGGAACGGACAACACTGGATATGAAGACATCATGAGAAGACGCGGACTGGGAGAAAGAAACGAAAATGGTGAGAGATTTGCAAATATATGTGCCTTCAATAAGCTGGTCATAGGCGGCACCATATTCCCACATAAACGCATACACAAAACCACATGGACTTTACCGGATCACTCTACACAAAACCAAATCGACCATATTTGCATCAACAAAACGTTCAGGAGGACTATAGAGGACGTGAGAACCAAGAGAGGAGCTGATATAGCATCAGATCATCACTTGCTGGTCACCAAGATGAAATTGAAACTCAAGAAGCACTGGACAACGGGGCGGACAATATCACAAAAGTTCAATACGGCCTTTCTTCAGGATACTAACAAACTCAACAAATTCAAGATAGTCCTCAGCAACAAGTTCCAGGCCTTTCATGATATACTCAATGGAGAGCAACTGGAAGTGGATCAAAGAGGCAATCACTTCAACATGTCATGAGGTCCTGAGTCACAAGAAGCACCATCACAAGGAATGGATCACTGTTGATACATTGGATAAGATTCAAGAAAGGAGGAACAAAAAGGCAGCAATCAATACCAGTCGAACAAGAGCAGAAAAAGCCAAGGCACAAGCTGAATGCACAGAAGTAAACAAACAGGTGAAGAGGAGGAATCGGTCACTGTTGATACACTGGATAGGCCAAACCAAAACGTGGCATCAGTGCTTGAAGTCACTAACTTCTAGTCTGAGCCATGTTGGTAGATGCAGACTACGTGGTTGGGGTCCGCGTGACTATCGTAACCAATGGTTGGAGACTCTTGGTGACATGGCTCAGAATCGATCACAATGGCGTCGGTGTATACACTCCCTGTCTTCCCTTAAACTAAGAGATTAAAATCACTTCATATCTTTCTACGAACTAATTCTTTCTTCTTGTACTATATCTCTATATGCAATCTTTCTCTTACATATTACTACCTTTGACCTAACCACTGCTATGAATCCGGTGTTCATCTTGTTGTGCTGATGCGGTATGGCAACCTGGACAGATGCACATATGTGCCTGGTCCTACGTTGTAGCTGACTGACTGACTGACTACCTGATACACTGGATAAGATTCAAGAAAGTAGGAACAAGAAGGCAGCAATCAATACCAGTCGAACAAGAGCAGAAAAAAGCCAAGGTACAAGCTGAATACACAGAAGTAAACAAACAAGTTAAGAGGAGCATCAGAACCGACAAACGTAAATATGTGGTAGATTTAGCAACGACCGCGGAAAAGGCTGCAAGACAAGGAAACATGAGAGAACTGTATGACACGACAAAGAAACTCTTTGGAAATCGCCGCAAACCAGAACGACTAGTGAAAAGCAAGGAAGGTGAGATAATCACCAATATTGAAGCAGCACCCACGGACCTCCCAATCAATGTTGGCCCACCAACAATTGAAGAAATCAGCATGGCCATCAGATGAATCAAGAGTGGCAAAGCAGCAGGACCAAACAACATTCCAGCACAGGCATTGAAAGCAGATGTAGCAGTAACTGCAAGGATACTCCACATTCTCTTCAATAAGATTTGGGATGAGGAACAAGTACCAACAGACTGGAAAGAACGACTTCTGGTCAAAATACCAAAGAAAGGCGATCTCAGCAACTGTGACAACCACAGTGGCATCACTCTTCTCTCAATACCGGGAAAAGTCTTCAACAGAGTATTGTTAAACAGAATGAAGGACTGTGTAGACGCCCAACTTCGTGAACAACAGGCAGGATTCCGTAAGGATCGAACGTAAACAGACCAAATCGCAACTCTACAGATCATTGTGGAACAATCAATTGAATGGAATTCATCACTCTACATCAACTTCATTGACTACGAGAAAGCATTTGATAGCGTGGACAGAACAACACTATGGAAGCTTCTTCCACACTACAGCGTGTCTCAGAAGATAGTCAATATCATACCGAGTTCATATGATGGATTAAACTGCAAAATCGTGCATGGAGGACAGTTGACAAAGTCGTTCGAAGTGAAGACCGGTGTCAGGCAAGGTTGCTTACTCTCACCCTTTCTCTTTCTCCTGGTGATCGACTGGATCATGAAGACATCAACATGTGAAGGGAAACACGGGATACAGTGGATAGATAGGAAGCAGTTGGACGATCTAGACTTCGCAGATGATCTGGCCCTTCTATCCCAAACGCAACAACAAATGCAGGAGAAAACGATCAGTGTAGCAGCAGCCTCAGCAGCAGTAGGTCTCAATATACACAAAGGGAAAAGCAAGGTTCTCCGATACAACACAGCATGTACCAACCCAATCACAATTGACGGAGAAGATTTGAAAGATGTAAAAACCTTTACATTTTTAGGGAGCATCATTAATGAACATGGTGGATCTGATGCAGATGTGAAGGCGCGGATAGGCAGATCAAGAGCATCATATTTACAACTGAAGGACATCTGGAACTCAAAGCAACTGTCGACCAACACCAAGGTCAAGATTTTCAATACAAATGTCAATACAATTCTACTGTATGGGGCAGAAACCTGGAGAACTACGAAAGCCACCATCCAGAAGATAAAGGTGTTTATTAACAGATGTCTGCGTAAAATACTTCGGATCCGTTGGCCAGACACTATTAGCAACAACCTACTGTGGGAGAGAACAAAGCAGATCCCAGCGGAGGAAGAAATCAGGAAGAAGCGCTGGAAGTGGATAGGACACACATTGAGAAAAGCACCCAACTGCGTCACAAGACAAGCCCTCACATGGAATCCTCAAAGCCAAAGGAGAAGAGGAAAACCAAAGAACACATTACGCCGGGAAATGGAAATAGGCGTGAGAGAAATGAACAAGAATGGGATGGAACTAGAAAAGAAGGCCCAGGAAAGAGTGGGTTGGAGAATGCTGGTCGGCGGCCTATGCTCCATTAGGAGTAACAGGCGAAAGTAAGTAAGTAAGTACGACTTTATAATAATGACTGATCTCTCACACCTCTACATGGAAAATGAGCGTATTAATGTAAATGAGAGAATAACGTTCAATTTTTCCGTTGAAAATTCACACATTTGTATGGAAGAAAAAAGTTAGTATGAAAATGTTAAATATCTAATGTGATTAATAATTGATCATAAGGGAGGATAGTAAAGTGAATTATCTGCTTTCTCATTCCATGTTTAATACAAATAAAATATATTCATTAGGAATATGGTATCAAAATTACAACCAGGAGATTTTCAATGAAATTAAACTATCCAGTGGGAATGTTAGCTGTTTATATACTATGTAGTTATGTTAGATTCTTGTGAATACCACATTAATATTAAGGCATGATTTAGTCTGTATATCATGTAAGTTTTACGTAAATTTTACTTGAAATCAGTGAACTACATAACGTTTTCTAGGTTGCAAAATCTGGATATCTAGATAATTAAAGAAATTGAATAGAAACCAAATCCTACCACGTGTCTACAAAGTTTTTTGGCATCTAATAAACAGTGGTCGGCGTCTCTACATTAGTGGTACAATATTCGTCTGCTGATAAATATTAAAATGATGTCCTCAGATATCAGTTCAAAATATCAATCCAGGTTTAACTGGCAAAAATTCATGTTTATTTTTTATAACTTATACAGTTAAATTAGCTATCCGTTGCTGTGATAACTGACGATATATTTGGAGCGACAACATCTTGTAAATTCCTAGATCGAAATCACGGAACAATACTGAATGCTCCCACCTCCCAAAAAAGACACGGTCATGTTGGGGCAACAGATATTACTCTTGAAGCTTGTGACCAAATATACTAGTTTGTGGACGTTTTGTCCACCGGTTTCACCACAGTCCTTTTAATGTCACTGTCTTGAGACCGGCACTACAGAACTCCTGGTCTAGAGTACATACCATTTTTGTAATTAGTTAGTTCATTCTCGAAATGATCATATTCAGTATATCTTATTCTGTTGATAAATGAAATAATCTTTCAAACTCGAAATAACATACTCTTGCGAATTTGCCAACAGTAGTAGATTCTCGTTTATCAGACAATTCATGGTCCGATTGTCAAGATTACTTTAAACGATACGCTGAACATAGCAGAGTATGTGATGAACAGTAGTATTTTATCCAAAGTATTCGTGAATGCCACTTTATTTTCTCAAACCTTTGAATAACCAATATTCAAAATATCTAACAATCAAACACACCGGTCAATGAAGCTACAATACAGTATGACTGATGAAGCCTCCCAGATTTCTATGAATTATACAAAATATGCAAAACAAAGAATGATACGCTAACTTCAAAACTACTATTTTAAAAAATCAATTATATGCCATCTTTCGAAATACAACAGAACTCTATGAAGCAAGGTATAGATTTAGAAAACATATATTGAGAAACGAATATTTTTGGGGTTAACCCACTAGGACCAATAATGACTTCGTTCAAATACTCTTGTCTTTCTAATGAACAAAATGACCACATACGAGTAAATGTATAAGTTATCGACATTACCATTTTAACTTGGTAAATGATACATGTAAACGATTAGATAATCAACAATGAATTGAAAGTAATCAAATGTTTAAGCTGATAAGTTAGTCATTTGGTTTTAATGTTGAATACAAATTCAGTGGTAAAATTTGACGATCGTAATACAGAAACAAATGTGGAGATTTACAAAACAACGTTAGCTACTACTTAGGACGATAATAAGATTGATTTCTAGAAAAAACGTCTGATCTACGTTGTTCATACTGTAAAATACATTAAGTGATAATTAGCATTGAAATATAAAATGAATGTTTCTTGTATCTAACTGACTGAATACACCTGAACTGAACTGAAAACTGAACACTCTCACAAGAAACAATATAGTTCACTAAGCAATATGAAGCTGAAAAAAATTGAATCCGATCTTAGGGTTATCATAGTACCAGTTTTACGTTGTCAGTTTCAAGGAATTGATTTTATGTGCAATGATGGCTCGGTGATACTATCTATGACCTTACAAACTGAAGTAGAGATGAAGCGAAATTAAAACATGCAAACCGGTAATTGAAAGTCAAGTACTTCAACTACTAGGTCACTATTTCACTATAGTGAATATAAATACGTCCTATCAAATTTTATTTTAACTTCATTGTTAGTAAAAAAAATATTCATAGCAAACATATACTGCGAAATATTAATTTATATACATATAGCAAGAATACCTCAAAATAGCTCCTTAATACAAGCATCGCTTCTTCGCGAGCATTAATAATTTCAGCGAAATGTTGATCGGATAATTGACAACCACAATTGACGCTATATACTAAGTCTGTTAGCAAACGAATAGCCATTCGTACAGTGATTAAACGAATACGACTTTCTGCAATTTTAAAAATAAAATACAGAAGAATAGAATGCATAGGAAAGGTTAACTTAAAGAAAATCTAACCGTATTAATATCAAGATTTTAACATGCTGTTCTATATAAACACAATTGATCGTCTATTTCAAAAAAACAACCCGAAATAATACTGGTCTGAGGATATTACTTATCTGGTTAGGTGAGATGGAAGCATGTACAACTTACACAAGTGAACAATAGGATGACATCGACGTTTGACTGTATACCTTCAACTAGCTTCATTCATTAAAATTAACAAGTTTATTATGAAATGTCAAACACTTACTCCTGTTACACCTAGTGGAGCATAGGCCGCAAGTGTTAAATATAATCCACCGAAATGTATATTTTAAGGCATTATTTGCTGTTACAGTGTTATAAAACATTTTCGGGAGAGAACCAGTTAGTATTACAACATAAATACATGTTACTATTGGTTTGAACATTTGAACATCGTGCATCCATTTAAGTACATAAAAAATAATACGAGGAAAGTACGTGTTTAAACATTACATCCCAATCCATTCTAATTGATTTGTATAACTGGGGTGCGTATGGTGAGACTTTTGTTGATAAAACTGATAAAAATAACCCCAAGAGTATAATTTGATTGCCTAAACATTGTCTCCTCCCTCGGCTAATTTATTTAACTTAACTTAAACAGTCACTAGTACATTCAAGTCTTCACAGCATAATTTAAAGCCTTATAGACCAATAGTGCATGGAATATCATTGAATTGATGGTATTTGATGTGTGGGCGAGGATGATAATGATTGGTTGTCTGCTTAGTCAGACAGTAGATAGTCTAACAGGTGTCAGATGAGTTATGTATTCCCCTATCCTTATAATTATTATGACTGATTGTTCATTATTGTTGGATTGTGTCGGATTTTGGTGTGGAAATATACTTACGTTCTAGTCAGGCTAGTCACGTGTTTTTGATTTGAGTTGTGTTGAAATTCTGTAGAATAGACACTGGAAGGGAATCTGTGCAGATATTCGTCTAAAGTAAATTAACGTCCCATACGTGTAAACGTGGAAATCCAACCGTTATCGGTATTCTACGATATTTTTAGGTTTAGACTAAATCGACAATGTACAGATATACTTCTTCGACTATTTAATCAAGAACCAGACATAAACAACAAAAACATAATAGTAGTAGGAAGAATTTATTTACAATGTCAAAGTAGTCCATTAATATATGATCCTTCTGACTGTCTATCATAACTTACATTGTCTGGATACATTATACTCAAACATCACTTTTTACTGAACAAGAATAAAAAAAATGATTATTTACAGTTTCATTTGCTAAACACAAAGTATATTGAGAGTAGTTAAAACAGTTTTATCACAATCGATCCCTTCTACGTAAGTAATAAACTCCCGTTTGTAGTTGAACATTCAATACTCTCACCTACATATACAAATCATACCATACATTTAGCACGGAAAAACACTCTAAAAAACCGAATTAACAAAATACATACGTATACTTTCAATTAGCATTCCTAACTATATCAATTATGAAGTAGACCAATGAAATTTGAAAATCCTTACATCATATATATGTATATGATCAATCACACAGAAACAATAGGTCCAGAAGACATCTAATTAACTAACTCACAAACATTGAAACAACTAAGAGTATTTTGCACAACCAATACATACACAAACATTTTATTTAGTGATGAATCATTACTACCCTATAAGAAGTGCAGAGGATGTGAAACGGAAAACGGTAAATACGAAACAGTAAAATAATAAGGTCAAAAAGTACAAATAAGCTGCTGATATCCGAGAAGAAAGTATAGAAAATAGTGAAATGGAATAGATGACTTCTTAAAAATTCCAGTAGCACCACTTCTATCTAGACTAACAAAGATTAAATAAGTGAGGAGTAAAAGGAACAGTAGACCAATACGCACTATTCATTGTAATTGATGTTGCAATTTTAAACAGTAATTTATATGCCAAATTTATGAATATTTATGAAATTTTTAAACGATATTTTGTGTAAGAAGGAGAGAACTACTGTTACTACCCGCATGTTAGTCCAATTAAGAGTATGTATGAAGCGGTTTGCATCTGTAATCCAATGACTGAGACTAGATCGATTTAACCACTGAGATATCGACGAAAACATGAAGCAATAAAGTAAAAAAATGAGCACGGGAGAATGAACGTTGATAATATTGGAAATTCTAAAGATGAAATGTATATCCAACCAGACAGTCTATATGGCAGATTATTAGTTATCCAAATGATGGGATTAAAACCCAATCGTATTATATCTCGATATTATATCACACACCGAATGGTTTGAACGTAAATTCACAGAAAACTGTAAATAAAATTATTCACACAACCACATCCGACACAAAATCGACGTTTCATATCATCATATGCATGTGTTGGGAACACTTCGTGTCATACACCAGTCGATGAAGACAAGACATTTTTTACATTGATTGAGACGGCTTAGATACTTATGTAATAATTCATCCTGGTATCCGACTATGAGATGATGAGACTACATAGTACAAAATAAGGACGATCACTTCATGACCTAACTCAAAATATAAACCTTGCACAAGTTAAACCTTTTATTGACTAATTTTCATTGTGTACTTTTCAACATCGCATTCATTTAGTTGGCCTCCTGCTATTGTTATGTCGTTAAATGTGACAACCTGAACTGCAACACTTGCGTGAAGGTCCTGATATATCTCTTTGCTTATCACTGTTATTTCTAAGAATTTCAGAAGACATTGTTGTCATTTACTAGTTCAAATGCTGTCATTCTATTCAGACAAACAACCGTAACTATGCTTAAAATTTATACAATGCATAAATGATGCAGTTTACTCATTACTAAAATGAATAATCATTTCAAACATGATCATGAGTGAACACGAAGAAAATATACTACCATGATTACAATGCAAATAAAACACATTTTTACACAATGAAATATCAAAACAGTAACTATTTACTCACCAGCTTTACATGCGTCACCAATTAATTCAATAAGCTTTGTGACAAGTGTATAATTATACGATGGTTCATTTTTCTAATATACAGGACAGAAAGACAAGAGGGTAGAAAATATAGACAACCAAAAATATTATACTAAAATAAGAAGCAATTTCTAAATAAAATAAATGAATTATAGCTGGTATTTCTTATCAACCAACGTATGTTTGCAGTGTAAATTCATTCAGTAATGAATAAGATGAAGAATAATTTCACGTTTGGTGGAACAACTGAATAGTTAGTTCTGGGCTTATCAGGTAGAGATGGAAAATCAGTTAATGAGGTTACGAACAATTATCGACTGAGATGCACAGATCCAGCCATTATCCACTTGAATGTGCTACACTGGTTAGCGTAAGAAGTTGAAAAAAAAAACGTTGAAGGTGACTAGATGAAGCTATTGGTTGTTGAACTGAGCTGTGTCAGGCGGTAGACTTCCTGTTTAGAGTACAATAGATAAAGGTAATGGTTTGTTGAAGATTTTAAATTACATAGTTTGAAACCAGTTGAATCAGAGCAAAATTATTCATTATGCACCTCCCTTTATATATCAAGTCTTAGCATTATTATATACTTTCCATTCCCCGATTTTGAGTTCTTTTCAAACTATATATTTGACTCTCCATATTATTTTTGATTACATGTTTCCTTTTTTGTTAATTTCATGTCTAGACACACTGTTATAAGGTGTAACAACTTGGACCGATTCACATCTATGCCAAAAGTTACTAATGGACTAAGTTGCAGTCCTAAAAAAACACGTGTTCTAAATAACACCCAACTGAATAACTGTTGATTTACAAGAGATACAACTGATTCGGTGTATTCTAAATCCATAAATAGCGGAAATTCACTTCAATCGTTGCTTTTCAATAGTCCATGATGATATGGGAAGATTACATGGATGATTACATGTCTGTTTGAGGAAATGTAGAAGTTTTGAGAAATGTATACATTTCTTCCCAGCTTTCAACTAAGGATGATAATGGTGATATATGTGACATTCACTAAATACAATATACTAGAGGCATCGATGACCATACAACATTGAGGTCAGACTTTGTGATCGACAAACTCTAATCACCAGTACAACAACAGGAACAAATTGTTTATATAGGATTCCTTAATTCTTCTACAATTATAAAAATCTACATATTTCATATATGTGGAGAAAGTTGTAACTTTTGAAGTCACAAGTTGAATGCATCGATTTTAATGTTATTATACTCGTTGCTAACATTGTTTATTTTAGATATTTTACGGGGTATAAAGAAAATTCCAATATATTCTAAGTAATATCAAATTCCATGTGAAAGAGATTTATAAAATAATCAAAATTAGTAACGTATACTTTTACAAACTCTTACTATATCGGGACCGTTTAATTGGGCAAGTTTCAAAGTAGCCAAATCAACACCTAGGAGAGTTTTTAAATACGAAGAAATACATTGCGGAGTGAAAAAGTGTGCAAAAGAGGAACAAGTATACATACACGTAAACTCTAATATTCCATACATATGCAATAAAAAGATAACCTTGTATACATGTATAGTGATCCAAGTTGTAAGAGCACGCAGCTCAACAAAATGAAATTACCAGGATGAAAACAGTATTAATACTAGTAGTAGTAGAAAAAAATTATGTATGACGAGTATGATTCGAAACATATTTTGCGGAATAAAATGTATAAAATACTTTAGAGATTCAGTTAGTCAAGATCTAATGGAACACGAAAAATAAATGTAGAGAGAGATTCCGAATCATATCATCTGATGTTTCATACGAATGGCTACGACAATCGCACAGACTCCAACATGACAGTCGCGTGCACCTACCAACATAACTCTTATTAATAATTAGTGAACATCTGGACCGACGCCATGTTTTAATTTAACCTTGCTAGCTAACCTTTACAAAATATAATCAACACGGCTAAAGATATCGTCACGCTTGAAAATAAAGTAACCAAAAAGATCTAACACTAAAGGAACTTTGCTCTTATAGATCCCCAAACATGCGGCTTTTTACGTAGAAACATGCGTATGCATTGCACTATCTCTAAATTAAACCGAAGAGCCAACTATCCCGATGATTTGTTTGCTTTGACTACATTATGATCACCATTTTCCCCTAACTTCGCTATCATTGAACTTTGTGGTAAGATTACATAAACAATATTTCTTTAATAAACAACCACTCAACAATCAATCCCATATGTCATGGGAAGGGGAAGTAACTTAGTCACTGATTTTAATATGATAGCTGACACGTCAATGACTACGTTGCTGAAAGATCTACTAATACAATATTATATTTAAAAAAGTAAGTTACGAAAATAGTAACAAGAAGATTCAGTAACTGTGACAAAAACGACCAGTTGCCACCCAATATAAACGCATTCATTCTCTTATTTTTACCAAAAATATACAATAAATTATTTTATTTTAATTGTAAACGAAGTAAAATTGTATCTATGACTTAAATATAAGTTATGTACAAAGCTGCTTATAAAATGACCTGGATAGATTTAATGAGACTTAGTATGCCAATTAACAATAAGGAACAAAAAACCCATTGAACAGACACGAAAACAAAAGACTATTCTTCAATTGTCAAGCTAAAGTATCTCAAAAATAATTTAATAAACACTTTTAAAGGAAATAAAACTTTCGAAGAAAACGTGTTTTTTCTATGATAATTTAAAATAATGTTTAAACATTGTTACGTAACTTAAGCTATGTATATGCAATACAAAGACGTATTCAAATGCAAACAGAAACACAATACATTAACTGTATACTAAGTCAACAACGTAATCATTTTTTTAATTGATTGAAATATACAGTCACATTTGCGATTTAATATATGCATATAAAGTAGAATTTCAGTAAAATGCTGTAATGAACAGGAAGCAAAGATACAAACCCATTGATGTAAATTAATTTTAAAAAATCAGGTTCATGTACAAAACATCCTGCGCAATGACTGATGATCCAATCTAGCTACCTCAATTAAAACAAGTAGAGAAGAGCTCGAACTTACGACTCGGTAAAAAAAATCAAATCTTAATGAATACAATAATAAAATATTACTAACAACCGAATAAATAACAAATCATATGATGAAAGTAAGTTACATAAGGTGGTGATGAACATAGGTTCAAGAAAAAGATATGAATTCATCAAATGAAAATCATTGTAAGATAATCGAGAAACTTAGAATCTAAGGGAAGATAAAAAGTGAATACACTTGAACCATTGAGGATGATTCTGAGTTATCAGTCAAAGTCTCTAACCACTGGTCACCACTATAACTTCACTGACCTCAATCAGGTAGTCTGAAACTATCTACAGAGCTCAGTTCAAAAGTCGGTGTCTTTATGGGCTAATTCTATGTACTTTTCATTTGTACATTAAATTAACCAACTGTGATCTGATAATGTCTTTCATCAAACGATTACCAACTCAAAACCTAACCAGTTGATCAATAATCCCATCAATAACCAAATGTATGGATTCTAATTTAAATGGTTGAATAAAATTGGGATCATTTTACTTCTTATTTAAAAATATAAAGAGGAAAGAAGAGAGAAATAATCCTATATAGAAATGTATCTTTGTTTAATTTTGTCACAAGCTACAATAGTAGGTCATAAAAAAATATATTAAAATGAACAAGAATAAAAGAAAAATATGAAATCCATAAGCATAAAGAGGTAATGAGTAATAAAGTAACACCAACATAGAGAAGCCAAGAACAAATATTTCTAGGTTGACTAATGAATACAGTGGTCTTGAGTGCTGTTAGAGGTATGAAGGCGGTTATCACTTCCCGGATGCCCAAACCGTGGAAGGGTTGTTCTGGAGGTACCTGAAAAGGGAATTGGATTAGAGGTGGTCTTAGTGACCTGGGAGCGTGACCCCAGTGCCCAAGGGATAACTGCTTGAGGTCGGTCACACACGACCTTTTTATGAGTAATTTTTGTGTTAGCTCCGTACTTGTTGAGACCTTACCGCCGGAGACGGATACCCGTGGGATAAGGCGAGGTGTGCATTTGTAGGGTCGACGTTTTCTAACCCCACCCCTCCTTGTGGGAAGGCAGCATCGCTGTCATGCTGGTTGTCTGAAGGAAACACCTTACTGCTGTCACACCTCTATGCAGTCAGCAGTACGACTTCGCCTTCGGACCTTGGGTTTGTTGCTTTTAGTCTTACCGCTTTTCAACCGACCTGTCTGACATGGTAGGACCTTGAGGAACGGTTGTTCAAGCCAGTATAGCTCGGTTGCTTCATCACGATAGGTAAGCCCGACCACTACGTCAAGGTAGCAACAACGGTCGTGAAATGTTTCTATGCTATAGTGATAGATTACTAACTGCTGATTTAAATGGTCAATGACTTCAGGAATCGATTATTTAGCTTGACGATGACCACATCAGATATTTTTTACATTTCACTTCAACTTTACTTACAATACTGTATCAAACTAAGCGACAGTTTAACCTGACACCTCAGAGGGTGAATACTGAATATAATTGAGTATACTTCTTACAGATTTACCCATAAATTTTATACTGATGAAGTTACAGTTATAAGAAGATTCAATTTCGAAGTTTGTTCTGATAGGATCTATCAATTGCTTTGTAGGCTAAGATTTGGAAATATGAAAAAAAAAAAACTTTTGGGATAGGAAAAAGAGACGTAACACCTCACCTTTATTTGATTTTATAGCGAATAAAAGGAGAATAGAGAATATAGCATCTTGATCTGAACCGGAACCAATTTCCAAAGAACGAAATAAAGATCTTAAAAAAACACGGCCAGATAGATTTGATAAGTCAGCATCGATCATTTTATCGTTTTGTTCAAAAACGACTGATGAATTAGATGATGAATCTTCAATTTTAACTGGGGATTTTTCAAAAGATGCATCTAAAAAAAACAATTAAGAAACAAATGGACGTTTATAAAATTGTTAATTTACAGTAAAACCTGTAATCAAGTCACAAGGTCATAAATACAGGATTAAAGCAGAGTTAAATGTTATATTCTAGAACAACATATGGCTAAAATTTGAGGAAGACTTAGAGATAATTGGTCAGCTAATTAGTTATGAACAACATGGAACCCTGTACATATACATAATAAAAACAACTGTCCAAATTTTCACAATTTGCATAAATTCAATGAGGCAGGAAGTTAAAAAAAACCGCGAAAGGTGATCAGACGAAATAATAGTACCAATATAGTAGAATTGTGGTATATGCTACTTATGTCTGCCGACATAAGTAGTATGTAACACCAATCAGGAGTGGAATGCCTGGTAGCAGAAGGTTGAGAAGATCGAACCGAAGAGAATGGCAATGTAAACAGAGAGTAATTGTAATAGCAATGAAGGAACGATGTAGTTTGATACAGATGATTGAGGATTTGCGAATGAAATATTTAATGTGTGGTTTTCACATTTTATGAAAGGACTGTAACTTTGTATTAAATAACAAATTAGTTGCCCCTACATGAGCGTTCATTCACTGCAGAACAATAAACATATGAAATATAATTATTCAGGAAGAAATGAGTTAAACTATTTAACTGAAATAACACTAAAAATTAGAACTTGAAAGTACATGGAGAATGAATTCCATCTGATCCACTTTCACCAATTTCGAGTTATATTACCAAAGGATTTCAATCACAGACTATTAATTATCTCTTGGATCATATTCATGAGCTTTGCACCTACTAACAAAACTCATATCAACGCTTAGTGAAATCATGGATTGGTGTGACTTCTTGAGATTGTTTATCATTAACGTGCTTCCGATCTACTACTCTACTACACAATATATATCACCAAACAGTAGGTGGTGACTACAACTTGGGAAAAATCATTTAACTTCTCGTGATTAATTATCATACTCAAATAAGGTCATAACTGACGTTATACAACATTGGAATATGTGAAAAAACTACCTAACCCCCCTCCCTAAGATCAACTTGGGTGTTTTTTCTCCTACAAACGCGGAAGAACAGGTTTAAACGTAATATATCTTTGAATACACTTTCTTAAACGTTTCATTGAATAGCATAGTATTCTAAACAGATGAAAGATAATTCTGAAATCATAAAAGAAGGTATTAAAAGACGATGTAACTGTGAGTAAAAAGATTTAGTATAAATAATTGTAAAAAAATGTCCTCCATAGAAATATCGGTAATGTATAAATTAGAAATAACAATTAGCTGAAAATGTAGTCAATCATAGTTAGTCGTGAGAAGTTGACATAATCGGAATAGCCGGGTGTTTTAAAAATAATTCATTCAAATAAGCTAACTAATATGCACGAAGACAAACAGTCACATCAATTAATTTGTTGATGAAAACAATCAGAAATTAAATATTGATTAAAACTGATTATTTGATTTAGATCATTGAATATATTAACAGACAAGTCCTTATAACAGTGAATGATCTACCTAATGCTATTTATCCCATACTCTTGTACACAGTGAAGTTCATTGCACGGATTCATGACGAGAATTGTTTGATGGTAAATCAGTTTACTATAAGTTATTTTAAAATCATAATTCTTCTATGTTTTCTGTATCCCAACGCGTATTCAATTGACTTTCATTGGTATTTAACTCCGTGAGCAACAAAACACCCACAAGTCATAAGAATTCGTTTTTTAAAGTTGATTGTAATCTAGAGATGTGAGTGCAAGACAGCTTTCATATCCTGTGATAAATCATCTGACTTTGGTTATCACTTAGTCACATTAAAAGGATGATTTACTAGTGTGATATGTGATCTTTACTGTTGAAATAATATTTGGGTATCACCTTAATGAGACTTTCCATTTGTTAAATATACAATTAGAGTCATAAACCCCATTACAAAACAGAAAGAAATTGTTCGAAGATTTTACTTTTCAGAAACACAATCGGAATTTATGCGAAAGAATTAATCTGATAACCAAGAAAATATGTTAACATGTATGCGTTTAGTTGATAAAATTCATCGAGTACAGTTTGTGACTGTTTTCTCGTGAGCATGCAGCCTACATGATTGTTGTTAGTCACTCCACTTATGTCACACATTTACGGAAGATTTATACATTACCTAATCCAAATTACACAACCTCATATGTATTCGGATTACAGCTAGCACACTGTCATTAGGTTACTAACAAAGTAACGCTAAAGAATAAACAGGGCATTTGCCAGCATGTAAGCCATATTGAATTACCATATTGTTGAAACTCCAAATAGTTTAAACTACTCTAATTCTGTACAATGGTATCAACAACTAGCCACGGGAACTGACATTTGGTATGGGTTCTATTACTTTGTAATCAGCAATTATTGTGACATGAACTAATTCCATTCCCACCTCGACACGTGGCTGTTGGTGTAGAGGGGGTAAGTAGGAAGAAAGCTAAAGCAGTTAAATCAAAAAGTGGAATTAGTTCACGAAAACACCGACTTTTGAACTGAGCTCTGTAGATAGTTTCAGACTACCTGATTGAGGTCAGTGAAGTTATAGTGGTGACCAGTGGTTAGAGACTTTGACTGATAACTCAGAATCATCCTCAATGGTTCAAGTGTATTCACTTTTTATCTTCCCTTAGATTCTAAGTTTCTCGATTATCTTACAATGATTTTCATTTGATGAATTCATATCTTTTTCTTGAACGCTATCTTCTATAACTAATATTTACTGCTACCACTAATACTGTTACTACCTACACTACACTGATACCTCACTGTGTTGAAGTGATATGGCAACTTCAACCGATGCACATATGTGCCAGGTTCTATGTACGGCTACATATTACCGACTGATTGAAATTAACTCTGTGACTAACACAATGTTACATCAATATGATTAATTGTGCATACAATATAATCAACTGTACGGTTAATCTATCTTGGTAGCCTACATTACGCTAAAAGGATGCTCATTTACATGTTTATTATCTTCTAAAGTTACCATCTAACTTTAGCAACCCTTTATGACAGTAAAGCATTACCACCGAAAAGTACAATTATATTTTGAACCTATAACATATTGGTGGATATCATAAGAACATCATAGTTAATGTTAGATTAAAGGAAAATGTCGATTATCCTTTCTTACAATAACTTAGCCAATGAAAATAACTAATAATCCGAAAGTCAAGTTAACTGATATTTAATTTATTGGGATAATGGAAACTAATATATAAAAAACTACACATCACTTGAATTCATTGAAAATAAATGATCAACTTCCTTTCATAAGCAGATCAATAATCAGAACGGAAAATGTTTCACAGTACATCAATTCACTGATAATTAAACAAAACTATGTCGATGATGATGTGACGATTATTATTATTATTATTATTATTATTATTATTATTATTATTATTATTATTATTATTATTATAACATTCAGAAAAACAAACCCATACACGAATCTTGACAGCTGTTAGGAGATTGTATTTGTGAATCGCCTGGTGACAGATCAGATGAGCGTTTTTCACATGGATTTGAAGAAATGGATGACTGAACCTGTTTATTCATGAGGGTAAAAATATGCAGAAGAATTTTTTCATTATCGGATAAGTAAAGACAAAATAAACTTACCAAGTGTTGTGTCTGAGCGATTGATTAATATCACTTGCTAAGTTCTTCAATCAGAATTAAGATTACATTTTCTCTGATACACTTCTGTCATTCCGTTTATAACCTAGCGCCCTTAATCTTGACTAATTATACATTCTGATCGACACAATCAACCTTAAGCCATCGTAAGCTTATTGATCGGCCTATATGCAATGACTTCAATCCTCAACCTTAAGTCTGAGAAGAAAGCCGTAGCCAAACCTCTATACTATATTTTAAAAAGCCTCTCCAGCAGCTGTCTCAAGCCCTCATTAGCTTATATGCCCGACAACAACAACATAAAATAGAAAATCATCGTTATTACACAAACATGTCAAAAGTGACTGTCAACTAGGAAAACTGTAAATAGTTGATTAGCGATAATATAGGAACAATAAAACGTACAGTAATATGTAGTGGGTCAAACGGACGCTTACAACAACTCAGTCTGTCAGTAACAACGTGGAACTTCGTACGTGCATACATTGGTTCAAGTTGCCATACCACATGAGCACACAGATACAATTATAGATTCAAATCCCGTAGTGGTAGAGGTAGTAGTCAAAAGATGTTTTTGCTTATGCTTAAAGCTAGTATTTGCAAGAAACAAGCGGTTATCTGAGCATAGCTGCAACAGACGGTCGCCATTATCTGTTCTTTGAGCTACGACACCATAAGATCCACCCAGGTGTTTTTCCCTTTCGCTTTAAAGTCACCGGCCATTATTACTACATCCAAGCGACTAGCTTTTCGGAGAAGGTCGGAGAGCTTTCTGTAAAACTCATCTTTTACATCATCTGCGCTGCAGTCAGTAGGAGAATAGGCAGAGACGACGAAGAGGCAACGACGAGTGTCCTTATCTTTCCGAGTCCTTATTGTTCCGTTTAATCGGACAGCGCATAAACGACTGTCCACTGGGATCCAGTCTAAGAGAGCTAGTTCTGCCCTAGGACTCAATGTTATACCTACGCCAGCGAGGCCACGGGAATCAGAATCAGGGCTTCCAGATACACGAAGCGTAAATCGAGTTGGTTCGTTACTTTGACATTGTGAGGTCAAATGAATGACACTACTCGGACCCTGTATGTGCGTTTCGGAGACGCAACACACATCGATGGCGCGAGATTCTAAAGTCCTAGCTAAGAAAGCCTGTTGTCCTATTTGGCAGTGTTTGAACGTTGAAAGCTCCTACATGTAGTTTAGAGCGTGGTTTCAGGAAACCAAGGAATAACGTTCCGCGTACTCGAATCGTTTGCCCTAGCGGTGCGAGGTGATAAAGGGATGTGGGAAGGGTTAGTCGTGGCAATAAGAGATTTATCTGGATGTAGGAGGGATTTGAATGTGACCAACTTGGTCTTGTGTGCTGTTACGGGTTTACAACAAACGGAATACAAAAACATAGTCCGGTTACTCAGTAGTTACACAATGTAAAAATAAACAACAATATTGATGAAGATAGTTTAAACGGTAAGAACCTCTCTAATACTCGTTCTGTTATAACATTAGCAAGTAAAGGCTAATGGTATTGCTCAGACACTAAAAATGAAGTAGATGTAGCCAGCTGGGTTCGAATCCATCATGCAGAGACTGATACGTGAATTCTCCAACCACTAAACCAATTTTTCAGAAAAACACTATAAATAACATCATAAGAAGTTCCATATTGAAATAAGATGAAAAATTTATACATTAGTCCGATCAGAAATCAGCCAAATGAGAAGTGCACGCGATTGGACCAGAAGTGGTTTACATTTCGTAGGAATGATAAAACACACCACTGGTGGCTTTATTTTCTGAAGGATATATGTATGTATGTATATACGTACAAGCATATTCGGTTAGTCAGTAAACTTTCTTTCTTACTCTCAGCCTTCTTCATTCGAGTAGCCGGTTGGGTTCATATTCACAAGAAGACTGAATAACAGTATCAACTATCGAAAACTGTGGGTCACAACAAAAATATTTAACAATTAATTGATTCCTGTAATGTACTGCTATACTGCTTATAAATTTATTCACGAGTGAATCCTTATTATACCTAAAATCATCGTATTCACAAATGACAGTCCTGATACATTCCAGAGTTTTAGAAATCTGTGAAAACTAAGAAATAAATGCTATTTAGCTTTCAGAGTGATATAAAGTTAAACATATTAGTGCCTGATATAATAGCGCGAGTAGTATGTAAGTTTAACTAATGGGAGTATTGTTATATTTTTACGGCGTATTTAGTAGACCCTTGGATTTTTGTGTCCCTATATTTGAGCTGATGTAAACTAGACCACTAAAGCTGTGATTAGTGGAGTTCAATCCGTGCCGGGTAGAGACAGGTATCTACTTCAGGCAATGGATGAATGGTTACGCAACCATGTGTCACTGATTGTCCCAATATAAAAAAGGGGTCAAAATGATCCTGTGATAACCATAGAGGGATTAGTTTGACTAACACAGCGTCTAAAATACTAGCCTCAATAATTATCAGACGCCTAACAAAAACTCGTGAGCAGCGAACACGAGAAAATCAGGCTGGCTTCAGACCTGGTCGTGGCTGCACCATTCGTCAAACCTTAGAACAGAGGCATGTTTATCAGCGTCCGACAATTATGGCTTTTCTTAACTTAAAAGCAGAATTTGACTCTGTAGATCGAGAGGTTCTGTGGCAGTGTCTGTCATTGAAAGGTTTACCTCAGAAGTACATAAACTTTGTGAAGATTCCTTTTTCGAACACTAGTCTAGTCAGAGCTCATGGCGAACTGTCATCTGATTTTTCAACACTAGGTTGTGTCCGACAAGGCTGTCCAATATGTCCATTTCTGTTTAATTTCATCATAGACTTACTACTGCAAATAACGTTCTCGTCGACTGAATTTTCAGGAATTGGTCTCCTTACAGGAGGTCCACTTAACAAGTTAGAATACGCAGATGACATAGTCCTGTTTGGTGAAGACGCTGATAAAATGTAGAGTTTTTTGGTAGCACCGAACAACAATGTCGTGATGTTTGGGATCTGTTTCATCCCTCTAAATTCAAATTGTTGATTCAGGACTGACTGGCCTGCGTCAACACCTAAACTAAGAATAAAGAGTGAAGTAGTCGAACGCATTGACAACTTCACTTATCTTGGAAGTCTGGTCAGCCCTAATGGGTAGGGGTCTAACGAAATCTCAGCACGGATTCGAAAAGCTCGTTTGGCTTTCGCCAACAAATGTCACCTATGGTGAAGGCGAGATATCGGTCTATCGATAAAAGGACGAGTATACTGCGCAGCAGTTTGTTCTGTTCTACTTTACGGTTGCGAAACGCGGCCATTAAGAGTATAAGATACTCGTAAGTCACTAGTATTTGATCACATATTTTTTGGAAATATTACCAACATCTTCTGGGATCACCGGATAAGTAATAGTGAGGTTAGACGCAGCGTATCAGAGCATGATGGTAAACTAGTTGATAGGGTTGTGAATCAACATCGACTGAGATGGTTGGGCCACGTGTTACGTATGCCCAAACACCGATTACCACGACGTGCAATGCTAACCGGTGTTCGGGATGGTTGGAAGAAAGTTAGGGGCGGCCAAGCCAAAACGTGGCATCAGTGCTTGAAGTCACTAACTTCTGGTCTGAGCCATGTTGGTAGATGCAGACTACGTGGTTGGGGTCCGCGTGACTATCGTAACCAATAGTTGGAGACTCTTGGTGACATAGCTCAGAATCGACCACAATGGCGTAGGTGTATACGCTCTTTGTCTTCCCTTAAACAGTGAGATTAAAATTACCTTATGCTTTTTATTCTACGAACTAATTTTTTTATTATATTCAATCCTTCTTTTATATATTACTACCATTGAAGTAACTACTTCTATGAATTTGGTGATCATCTTGCCGTGCTAATGAGGTGTGGCAACTTGAACCGACGCATATATATGCCTGGTTCTACGTTGTAGCTGATTCACTGAATGTGATAAAAAGTATATATGCATAATAGTCAGTCAGTCAGTCAGCTACAACGTAGGACCAGGCACATATGTGCATCGGTCCAGGTTGCCATACCTCATTAGCACAGCAAGATGAACAGCGGATTCATAGGAGTGGTTAGGTCAAAGGTTGCAATAAGGATATAGTATAGGAAGAAAGAATTAGTTCGTAGACAGAAAGAATGAAGTGATTTTAGTCTCTTAGTTTAAGGGAAGACAGGGAGTGTATACACCGACGCATAATAAATACGAAACGAATATGAAATTAGTATGGGAAGTTTAAAGAGACTGTTGAACTTTCACGGTTCACATTGCGGACTGATCTTAGACAAACATTGAAAAACAAGAAGCACTGAGTAACTGTTTCATCTTAGTGTAGGACTCCTCAGCCGTACTCGTCCGCAGCTCTAGACCACTGAGCCGACAACCATTAGTGTATATGTCTGGTCTTAATCGGCTCGCGATATTGTGCGAAAACCCAAAAATCTATACAAACCCTCTATACTAATAATGATCATGTGCTCATTAGCGACTAATTCTAAGAGTCCCAATGAGAAGCTGTGACTAATAGAGTTCATTCACATTGATTAAGAGATAGTTAATCACCGTATATAATGAAAAATGGACACACAATATCACGAATTGTGTGAAGTTGGACAAGTACACACTAAGATGATGGTCCAGTTGGTTAGAGGATAATGCCTTCACCCCAAAACTAAAAGTCTTGGTTCCGATCATCGAGTGAAGTTCTGAATGAGTACGGCCGAGGAGTCCTGTACTAAGACGAAACGGCTACTCAGTGCTTCATGGTCCCCAATAGTTGTCTCAGATCAATCCTCAGTGTAAACCATAAGAAAATGGAATTATTAAGTAACTGTAACTTAATACATGTATAATGTAATACGATTTATTTCTGAAATAAACAGTCAGTCATATAGTATAACAATTTCTAAACACATTATAATTGCGCAAAAACATGTAGACATTGTTTATATATTTTAACTATTTTTAGGACTTCTTCTATTATATTTTTATAATCGAAATTTCATCACATTTCATAATATTTCAAGGAAAAACATTAATTTTGCTCCAATTGTACGAATACGGTGGACGGAGGGCATACATGTATATAGAATAAGTACGAAACTATCACTAGCCTCTCCTAATTCAGTAAACCAGTGGTCCTTTACTCATTAACTTGCTATAAATAAAAATAATATATTTGTAATATCCCAATTAGTATAAAAGTTAGGTTTTTCTACTCATTGGGATATTACTAATATATAACTGCTCAGTTTATTTGGAATTCAAACCTTAGTAATGATACTTACAAACTCATTAACTTGCTGTTTTAAAATGGTTTGAAACCAGCAATAGAGACAATAAATGCACGCATGTTATTGTTTATATCTTGAGTTCAGTATTATCATTCCATACTCTTTACTCAGCAGTTTTATTTACTCTTTTTGAAATTTATTCCTATATGTTTAGTTTTCTATTATCATTGGTACTATTATTATTACCAATCATTGTCTTTTTTTAGCTTGTTAGTATTTTTGTTGTGCTAATGTAATGTAACAGCTTACAGCAATCCATATCTGTCCCAGATTGTGTGTTGTTTACGACTGACTGACCTTATTTCTACGGCAAATATGAAGGAAATCCTACCATTTTTTAAAGTCGCGTCAACTGGATTTTCACGATACTCGAGACGAAGAAAACGTCAGAACTACTTGTGTCTTAAATAGAAGTTAGCTTTTCACCCATCTTTGCTATCAGTTAATATGACCTCCAATGATTAAAACTTTCATAATTTCATATTTTAATTCGGTAAAAATATTCAAAATGATGTGACGATTGTCATTTCTCGACCTGATCTTCACAAGAAATTACATGTGACTAAAATATATGTTTCTTTAATGTAAAAATTCATTAAATTTAGACAGTCATAAGTACAGATCATGATGTTACCAAGGAAAAATAAATGAAAAATGCCCTAAGGTTTCATGAGTTATGTGAAGAAATAGAACATTTTCCCTTTTCACCGCCTTCCAGGATAAAGCAGCCGACCATCAACCCTTAGATTAAACATTGAGACCACACTCCACTCATTTCAGTTCGAACAGCCAAGTAGTATTGTAGTGAAGGAAAGCACAGGGGAGGACAACTGATTATATTTAGCGCTGTGTTAATCGGTATTCAGACATACATAACACGCGGCCCAACCATCATTCGCTAATATCCTGCGTCTAACTTCACTATTACTTATCCGGTGATCCCAGCAAATGTTGGTAATATTTCCAGAAAAAATGTGTGATCAAATACTGGTGACTTACGAGTATCTTCTACTCTTAATGGCCACATTTCGCAGCCGTAAAGTAGAACAGAACGAACTTCCACGAATTAAGTCTTCATACGTAAAACATGTAGCTCATAGGGAGGTATCTATGTTTGTACTTAGTAAATAAGTTCCATATAATTAGATAAAGCTAAACCCTATTGAATTCATATATTTAAACCAAACTATTCCATGAATGACCACTTGCCAAACCGTTGATTTTCACTGTCTACATAAAAAATATCGTTTCCGTTGTGACGGCCCAATTGATTTGCGACTGTGTTGGCCAAGCTGTTAATCTTTGTTCACAAGACCAATAATCGTCTAGAATCTCAACTGAATGAACTTTTATAAAAAAGCATGACGTACCTTAAGGGAACAAAACTACCATTGTATACACAAAATAATCGACGTAAATATAGTCTAACTACGAGTTATTTGTAAACTAATTAATGGATAAACAGTCAAGAATAGAAACATGTCGCAGAAAATAGATAATGATTATACACTTCAGTTAGTTAAAACAACGTTCTTATAACTAATACACCATTTTCATGCAGTACGATAGAAATTTTAAACAAATCAGAAATCTGTATGATTAGAGATTGACTATCATTTCCAAAATAATAATAATAACAGTTAAAACCCTGTCTATTTTAAACTCACGTAAGTTTCTGTATTCTTCTCCACTAGTTTTAGTGGAGCCACATTGGGTGGCCATAGAACAGACATCAATGTCGGTGTTACACCTTTCGCTTGAGTTAATCCATGTTCTAATGATTCACTAGGTTGAGAAAATATCAATGGATTTTTGGATGTCACTGAATGTATTAAGTAGGTAGTTAATCTTTGCCCAGGTGATGCTTGGTCAGAAGCTCGTAAAGACACAGTGGCAGCAATTAACGTTTTAGCAATGATCATTGCTGGATCATCATCAGATGCAGTATCATCAGTCTCTTCGTAATTTAAATTTCTTTGAAAACTTACAGAACAATCCTGAGTTGTGGGGTCATTGAAGACAATTTGTGAATTGGAACATGGTATATTACAAGGTATTATTAAGCCAGGCAATGTGAGATCGCCAATTAGAATAGCTTCCGTAAGTAAACAGATTAGTCGAGTATCACGTAGAAATAAATACACATGAATTAGTGTAAACACTGTCACGGAATAGGATAGACGAGGTCTACGAACCTTTCAAAATAAATAAATCAAAAAATTAGTACCGTTTCATTGTTATTAACAAGAAACGAAAAATTGGTTAGATCGTAATACTTGTTATAAATATAAAGCCTGTACCGTTATTACTATACTGTTGGAAACATTATAAAACACCATTATCAATGACTAACTTATCATTAATACAGTATCACTATTATGACACTAACTGTTAATTACTGTAAAGATAATGATTCAATTCACTTGATTTTTAATTATTCAATCTTGGCTCTAGATGCCATTCTTTTGATTTAGAGTTTGGACAGCCAGATAACATCATCAACTTGCATCTATAAGATCTGCCTAAAACCCTAGTACATGAAGAAAATGCGCGTAGTAAATAATGTGCATAGTTGTTATTAATCTTACATAATGCGCATAAACACAAATAGTTCTAAAAAACAACCTCATATTCTTTGAAATGCTTAAATACCACACAAATAATCGATCACTAAAATTCTTACTAACAATAAGATGCTACATATTCTCATATGATACCTAAGTAAACTCATGGACAGAGGTTACAAAACCATAAGCTCATTAGAATATTTTCTTCTCAAACAATATTTTGCAAACACTAATGTTTTCTCACAAGCACTGAGTCGTGCTTTTTAATGCGGTCTATCCAAGTAGCATAATGGTAAGATCAATATGAACAGTTTTCTCTCCTTAATCAAGACCTTAGCCATCTGGTGTGCATATTTGTTAGGTTTTACCGATCAACTTTTGTTCCAAAATGGATCCAAACTAAAGAGTTTAATAAACAGAGCATCAAATCGTTAACCTAACCCTGTATAGGCTGTCTACTCGAACACTACTGGTCGAGTCAGAATTTATGGTGACCTGTCATTGAGATTGAAAACTTCAAGCGGTGTTCGTCAGCGTTATCTTTTTTCTCTATTTTTATTTAACTTTGTGATAGATATCCTTCTACATATGACATTCATCATCTGACTTGTCAGGAGTCGATCTTCTGCCAGGAAATTCTCTTGTTGGTTTGAAATACTCAGGTGACATAGTTCTGTTTGATGAAGACGCTGAAAAAGTGTAAGGTATTCTGGCCGCCGTAAGCAACAATCTTGACATTTCTGGGATGAGTTTCTCTCCCTCCAAATGCAAAACGTTTCTTCAAAACTGGTTTATATCAACGCCTGAACTAGTTATAGGGAGTGAATTAGTTGGGTACGTCGATCGGTTCATTTATCTTGGAAGCCTCTTTAGTCCTGATGGGCTGGTGTTTGACGACATCTCAGCAAGAATTCAGAAAGCTCAATCAGTTTTTGCCGACTTTCGTTACTTGCGGCGTAGGAAAGATCTCCGCCTGGAAACCAAAGGATGAGTTTACTGTGCAGCAGTTAGATCCATTCTCGTTAGTGCCTGCGAAAAGTGGTCATTTTAAGTAGAGAATATTCGCAGGTTATTAGTTTTTATCATTGATGTCTTCAAAGCATTGTTCATTTGTGTTGGGATCATCAAGTAGGGAATCCTAAGGTTAGATGCAGAGTACCAGATAGGTAAGGCAAACAGATGGATGAGGTAGTCAATCTTTATCGAATGAGATGGTTAGAATATGTATTGCGTATTCACATTCATCGAATTGTTCGATGAGTGATAATGGCTTTTGTAGGGGAGTAAGTTGAAAGAAAGCTAGTTGTAACCAAACCAATACACAGCAGAAGTCCATGAAGATACTAACTGTCAGAGTAACCCTAGTAGGTATTCTCAGATTACCGAATCGGATTGCGAGTTATTGTCGCGACCAATGGCTAGAGACTTCGAATAACATGACTCAGAATCGTTCGCAATGGTTTGGGTGTATCCACTCTGTTTTCAACTCCACCTGTATCTCTTCTAGAGTTACTGCCGGTCCCAAGCCCGGGTAAAGGAGGAGGTTTAAGCATGGGGTCGACAACCACATCCCGTACAAAACAAGTGTGCTAAAAAACGCCAACCAGATTAAACAAATAGAAACATTTAAACTCTACCCTGAGAGTTGAACGAAGAATTATAACGCCTCATACAGAAAAACAAAATTCTTAGGAAGTCACAAGACTGATGCCCATTCTAACAGCAAGAGCAACAATTTTTGTAGGGACATGGAACATCCTGAAAATGTGGGAGACCGGGAGGACCAATCAAATAGTTGAGAAAATGAGGAGATACAACTTGGCAGTACTCGGAATCAGCGAAACCCATTGGACCCAAACTGGACAGAAATGGATAGATTCGGGAAAGATGCTGTTGTACTCTGGTCACGAAGAAGAAAATGTTTAGCACACTCAGGGAGTGGCTCTGGTGCTGTCCAAAAAAGCACGTGATGCACTTGCAGGATGGAAATCTCACGAACTCAGAATCATCAAAGCATCTTTAAAAATAAAGAAGGAGGGACTTACAATGAATGTCAAGCAGTGTCATGCACCCACCAATGATACCGATGACGACAATAAAGATCAGTTTTAAAGGAGGCTGCAATCAATCATAGCGAAGTGTCTAGTTAAAGACCTGACCATTCTGATGGAAGACCTAAACGCCAAAGTCGGAATGGACAACATCAGGTGTGAAGACATCATGGGACAACATGGACTGACTAGAAGAAAGGAACGAGAATGGTGACAGATTTTCGAATTTGTGTGTATTCAACAATATGCATATATGTGGCACAATATCCTCACACAAACGCACACACAAAGCTACATGGGTCTCACCGGAACACACCACGGAGAACCAGATAAATCAGATTTACATCACCGACAAATTCAGATCAATGGAAGATGTGAGAACCAGGGAAGGAGCTGACATAGCTTCAGATCAAAACTAGCTAGTAGTTGCCAAGATGAAACTGAAGCTAAAGAAACAGTGGACAACGGGGAAACAACATTACATAGGTTCAATGTAGCCTTCCTTCGAGATACCGTCAAACTCGACGAATTCAAGACAACTCTCAACAACAAGTTCCGAACCTTACAGGATCTACTGAAAGAAGAAACTACTATGAACCACAACTACAAAGGGATCAAAGAATCACCGACTTCAACAAGTCAAGAGGTTCTTGGCAGCAACAAGCATCATCATCATCATAAGGAATGGATGTCTATCAAAACCCTAGACAACATTCACGAATGAAACAACAAGAAGGTAGCAATTAGTAACAGCCGAACAAGAGCAGATAAAGTCAGGGCACAGGCTGAATACACAGAAGTAATCAAGAGAGTGAAGAAAAGCATTAGAGCTGACAAGTAGAAATATGTGGAAGACATAGCAATGAAAGCGGAAAACTCGGCAAGTGAAGGAAATATGAGACAACCATGTGATGCAACGGGGAAACCAGCGGGGAAATATAGTAAACCAGAGAGATCGGTCAAGAACAAAGAAGGCAAGCCAATCACCGAGATTCAAGAACAGAGTAACAGAAGGGTAGGATAATTCGAAGGACTCTTGAATAGACCAGCCCCACTGAATCCATCGGACATCGAAGCAGCACACACAGACCTCACTACAGATGTCACTCCAACAACGATGGAAGAAATCAGGATGATCATCAGACAATATACCAGCTGAAGCTCTGAAGCCAGACATAGAAGTAACTACAGGTATGCTTCACGTTCTATTCAGGAAGATTTGGGAGGAGGAACAAGTGCCGACGGACTGGAAAGAAGGACACCTCATCAAGATATCAAAGAAAGGAGATTTGAGCAAATGTGAGAACTACAGAAGCATCATACTACAGTCAGCACCAGGAAAAATTTCCAACAGTGTGTTATTGAACCGAATGAAAGATTCAATGGACGCCCAACTTCGAGATCAACAGATTGGATTCCGTAAGGATCGGTCGTGCACAAACTAAACTGCGACACTATGGATCATCGTTGAGCAATCAGTTGAATGGTACTCGTCACTATACATCAACTTCCTTGATCATGAGAAGACGTTTGATAGCATGGATGGAAAAACCTTGTGGAGCTTTCTTCGACACTATAGAGTACGTGAAAAAATCGTCAATATCATCCAGAATTCATACGACGGAACACACTGCAATACCGTGCATGGACGACAGTTAACAGACGCGTTCCGATTGAGGACTAGTGTCAGACAAGACTGCTTACTCTCCCCTTTTCTTAATCTTCTGGTGATTGGCTGGATTATGAAGGCCTCCACATCTGAGGGGAAGTACGAAATACGATGGACAGCTTAGAATCAATTAGACGATTTGGACCTGGCCCTCCTATCCCATACACACGAACAAATGCAGATCAAGACAACTAGTGTAGCAGCAGCCACTACATCAGTAGGCCTCAACATGCACATATGAAAAATCAAGATCCTCAAATAAAACACGGTGAACACCAACCCAATCACACTTGATCGAGAAGCTCTAGAAGATGTGGAATATTTCACGTACCTGGGAAGCATAATGGATTAACAAAGAGGGTCGGATGCAGAAGTAAAGGCGAGGACTGGCAAAGCAAGGGCCCCATTCCCACAATTGAAGAACATATGGAACTCAAAACAACTGTCAGCCGACATCAAAGTCAGAATCTTCAATACGAACGTCAAGACAGTCCTACTGTACGGAGCTGGAACTTGAAGGACTACCACAACCATCCCAAAAGGTAAAGGTATTTCTAAACAATTGTCTACGTAAAATACTCAATATCCGTTGGCCGGATACCATCGACAACAGCCTGTGGGAGAAACCAAACCAGCTTCCAGTTGGGGGGGATTAAGGACAGATGTTGGAGGTGGACAGGACAAACTTTGCAAAAATCACCAAACTTTATCACGAGGCAAGAGATAACTTGGAATCCTGAAGAGAAACGGAAAATGGAAAGGCCAAAGAACACACTGTTTCGAGGATTGGGGGCAGACATGAAAAGGATGAATAGCAGCTGGAAAGGATTGCCCAAAACAGAGTTAGATGGAGAATGCTGGTAGGAGGCCTGTGCTCCTCCTCATCAATCGATCACACCGGCGTAAAATCGTAGGCTATCTATCCATTACTGTCACTGACAAACAGTCCTTATTAGTTAAAATAGTTTTCTTTACGGATTCAAGTATATCGTTATTTGAACCAATCTTTGAAACACTTTTGTTTGATTAAAAAACTTCAAATAGTACAGGCTAGACATTCGGAATCACCTGTTTATCAATATATATATACGTCAAAAAAAACAAGATCTCTTAGACTGGATTCCAACAAGCAGTCATTTGTAGGCTGTCTGACTAAGTGAAGAAGTAAAAACATGGAAGGATGGGGACAAACGCTGTGGCCTTTTCGTCGTCCCTGTTTGCACTCAGATTGACTGCAAGTCGGATAAAGTGAAGGTTGAGTTTTACAGGAAACATTTTGTTCTTCCATACTAGCCAGGCGATTACTCAGTCTCCCTCATTCACAGACACTTTTTGGTCTGTCTATGCATAAATGTTATTTTTCATTTTATAGTGTGATGCGGTCTGGTCTGTTTGTATATAAACTGCGTTTAGAACATAGGTACAGTGGAAACTGGTTGCTAACTTCTAGACTCAAATAAAGGGCACAAAGAGAAGCTAGAAAACAGTGGACCAATAGGAACTTAGCTGCTGAATCAAGGTTAATAGTGCTGGTCGGACGTGTAATTGACTGTCAGAGGAGATACCAAGCTACCGAGTAATGTTAGATGCGAATTAGAATCAGGATTCTGATAGGCGAATTGTCACGTGATTTTGACCAGCAATCACAAGATATAATAAAAGCCTGTCGACCTATTTAACATAAGGCCTGAATGGTGAGAGCTCTAACGTGTAGTTTGGAAGGCGATTTCAAGAGATCAGGAATAAGTTTCGTAGACTCGAATAGTTAGCATTGGTGGCACATAGAGATAAAGTCACGGGAGAAAGGCTAGTGGTGGGGATAGGAATATCAAAAAGTGACGAAGGGATTCGATCGTGAACAAGAGGATCTCTAGTGTTGTTAGGGGTACGAGGGCAGTTGTCACTTCCAGGTTACCTAAACCGGAAAAGGATATTTCTTCTTGACGGACCTGATTTATTTATTTATTTAAGCACATAAAAAATGGTACAAAAAACTTAGCACCACACAAACCATTTAATTTGTGTGAGGGCTGAGATACTGCTCAGATGCTTAAACCGAAGCAGGTGGTTTTCTTAGTGAGCCACTCCCCGAGCCTTTGACCTAGAGCACTAATCCACAAGGCAATGGAACAACGTAAGGAGATGCAACCCCAATATAGCCAATGACCAACAATAGGTTCATACGCCATTTGTTTCCTCAGGGCCCTGGGGCCCATGTGCACTAGTGGTTTAGGATCAGAATTTTCTAACTCCCCTAGGTGGATCTTCCATATCCACCAATCCGGTCAAAGGGCCAGATATTCGCTTTTCTTCCTCTCGATTTTGAAAAAAACATCTCCTTCGCGAGAAGGCAGTGAGTAAAACTTCCCTGGCAGTTGCTGTATACGCGTGGTCATGTAAGAGTGTTTCGAAACGGAGAACTGACTCTTGATCGTACCAGGGTGTTTTGGGGATCTGAAAAGGAAACTAGTTTATGAGTATTCTTAATGACCTGGAAGAGTGACCGAGGAACCCAAAGGACAACTGCTTGAGGCCAGTTATACACGACCTTTCTGTAGGAAGCTTGTGACATGTTAACTCCGTGCTTCAAAAGATCTTATCACCGGAGACGGAAATCCGTGGCTTAACATGAGATATGATGTTTTTAATGTCAGTCTTTTCTAACCCCCTCCTTCCGTTGTAAAGCAACTTCGCCATAGGTACTGACTGCCTGAGAGGAACACCTTACTGCCGTCATACCTCGGTACCGTCAGCAATATAACTTTGCTCTCAGACCATTATTTTGTTACTTTTAGTCTTACCGCTCCCAACCGATCTGCTTAACATGGTAGAACCTAAATGAACAATTTCTTCCTAAGTACAGCCCGGTCAGATCATTACGATAAGCAAGCCCGATCACTACGTCAATACAGAAACCATTCAATGGCGCAAAGAATTTGTGCTTACTGTAAGACACGAAGAGCCTAGGCTATATAACCCATGGGCACGTGAGCACTCATTTTCTAGTAGTTTCAAGCTAAACAATCCAACTGTGCAATTTTACTCTCTAATTTTCAATAGTCTGCCAACTAAAGCCACTTGTTCGTAATGTAAATCATCTTTAGAATATACTTGAAAAGTTTCCACAAAAGTATTTTAGTAAATAAACGATGATCGATTAGACAAAATGACCTATATGGCCACAAAAGATGGCTATGAGTTAATATGAAACAGATGTAGAAAGCAGTTGGAACACAAAAGAAAAAAGTATTTATTCTAACCGAGATGTAGTCAACGACTTGCTTGAATTTACGAGATACTCCTATCAATGGATGAGTAATCCAGAATATTGGTTTTCAGACAGCTTAATCACAGTTACTTTGATTATTATAGTAGACGTTACTTTCTGAATGAAACTAACACGCCTTTAAATTCATTATAAGAAAACAGATGAACTATTTTTTTTGCATTGTTTCATTTAAAATTTACCCAGCTATATGGTTCCTAGTGTTTTACAACTCATTAGAGAAGCTAAAATAGTTGCCTACAGTACAGCCGCAGCATAAAACTTTATAAATCCGTTTTCTCTTCAAAATAAACTTTTGAGTTTGTTGGTTATAGGTGGTTGGCTGAAATGAGACTAGGACTATAAATGTGTTGGGGTTGTAAACCCAAGACACGAAACTTAGTCTATGGTGTAATTAACTGTTAGTTCTTACATAAAGTACACAATAAAAACCTAATTAAGCCTAATTAAATGGTGGACGGATATGTGTTAACTTGAAAAATATATCGTATGTGGAAATTAAAACGCGTAGTTTCTTTTTCCCATCACATATATATTCAGGCTACACATAAAAAACACTTGTCAACTTACTGCCCCTAGATTTGTTGTTGCATCCGACTTGTATTGCTTCAATAAGGAGTAGATATGTAACGGTATAAATAATCTCCTCAATAACTGGTCACACAGTACTTCATTTAAACCTTCTATACCCAGTGACAACAAGTCATCTATGTAGTGTAAATGATCAATATGCTCTGCAACTAAATCTTTCAACTTAGTTTGACACCTATTAAGTAATTACAAAAAAATTTCTATTGTTAATGAATTCGTACCAAACATTGAACGAATATTTGAAGGCAAACATATTTACTGTGAAATGAAAACATGATATAACGAAGACACAAACATAAGTAACATAGAAGAACATACCCGGACGAAAATTGGAGAAATGGTAACTCTCTGAACTAATTCATCGATTATTGTAATATTATTGTATTGTTACTGGGTAACTGGGATATATTTATATAGTGTTTATCTTAAGCTTCCGTTTAACTCACTATCTATTATTGTGTTCTTTATAATTCCTATTTTATTGCCAATCGATTATTCTTAGCTTGCCCTATTCGCAACCACTTTTGGCTTATTTATGAATAACTGTGACTTTATTTTAAAGGTGGGATGAGGCCCAATATGTCTATATAAAAACCCATGTATGTTTGGAATAATGACAGAAGCTGGCTGTTGACTTCTCCTTGGACTTGAGGCAAGGGATAGAGAAGGCTTGAGCATAGCAGACCAATCGGGACTTACTCTGCGTCGACCCAAGGTTGACGGCGCTGATCAGATGTGTAAGTGGACAAGTTTAGGACACCAGGACGTAGAAAAAATAGTAGACGCGTCATAAATAAAAGTCGGAGTTAAAATTCTGAGTAGTAGTTTTAACGCGAGATATCGACCAATGATCTTAAGCCACAACATGAAGAATGTGCACAAACAGATATCCCAAAAGTTTTCAACAACTTCAGTCAACAGGCTGCTATGAGTAGTAATATCAACCTACTGCATATTTGATGAAAAGCAATCAACGGAACTTATTGGCCTAATGAATAATGCTTCCAGTTACAAAAGTGAGGGTTACTGGTTAAATCCCAAACGTAACTTATTTTTTCATAACCTTAAAGATCATTCCAGTTTAAGTGAATTAAAAATTGGACAGTAAATATATAAATCATGCCTTAATCCCTAATACAAACTAAATTATATTAAACAACGAACGGAACGTGATATAACACTGTAGTACAGTTTATTTAGTGTCAAGCATCCACAAGAAATTAAAGTGCCACTAAATTTAAATTCTCAGTGTTTTCGTTAATAATTATAAATTTAATAGTTGAATTCATGAGTCAATTAAAGCTAGACCACCATGACAGCCTGGAAACACTGGACGGCCGTTTTGTCCTAGTATGGGACTCAACAGTGCACATCCACGATTCCGCTCGCGGGACTTCAACCCAGGACCTACCGGTCAAGCGTGCGAACGATTAACCTCTAGACCACTGAGCCAGCATCCAACGGTGTTAGTGTCTAACTCCAACCAATCCACGGAATCACACCACCGTCCACCATTGTCTCCAGAGAGTTGTTACTATCTCACAACAGACCCCGTTGAACTCCACAGAACCCCTTTCTGATTATAAGTATAAATTTGCTGAACGTTCCATTTTAATTACTGTAATACAACTCAAAAATCAAGTATAAATTCATGTTCTAAGCACAGTCAATTTCTATTGGTGAAGACTAATGATACTACCAGGCCGTTAGAACTGAATTAGGCGAAATAGGGTTAAGGAATAGGCCATTAAAATCTCTGCGACAGAACTAAAGAGAACCAAAATCAACTAGAAAATTATTAAACATAGTAAATTTCAATCTTTCATACATCCTGACCCCTTGATAGGCTTAAGAAAAAGCGAGGACAATATTTCCAGAATAGAGTGAATTCATTATATTTCAAGGCTCCTCACCAGTTGCAAACGGCCTAAGTTTACAATCGAAATATTATTATAAAATTGTTATTGCATACCATAATCAATGAAATTTAATTTGAAACGCCTTAAACAAGAGGAAACAATATATTTAACATAATAATTAAGGTTGATTAGTATTTATACGGAAATATTTCGATTGTGAATTTAGACCATTCGCAGCTGGCGAGAAGCCTCGAAATATAATAAATTCATTTTGTTCTACAAATATTGTTCACGTTTTATTGACGATTTCAATCTAATCATCTACCTGATAAAGTATAGAATTTTCAGAACTACTACTAAATTGTAAATATAACTATTGAAAAATTTAAGTCTATATATAGTTCTGAAAAATCTGAATTGATCTCCAATATCGCAATGATCTAGAAATCATGTAACTTTAAAATATTAACAAACTGATTCATAAGAGCATAAAAATGGGGTTGAAATTAAAATACATCTACATAAAGACGCAACAAAAAACTAAAAAGTACATATACGATAATAATTGATTATTTAACATTTTCACTCAAATAAAACGAATTCATCTGCATACTGGGCGTCCATAACCACAAGTTCCTAATACTCTAACAACCTAAGAAAATCTACACTTTGTTATATAAAACTCATTCCCGATAACTTATATCCTAGTCATTGGACTTCCCTCTCTTTTCCTTTCTCGTCACATGTCCTATTAACTCAATATTATACACAGCAGAACGACGTACTAGACGTATTTACAACTGACTGGTCTATTTTAATCAATTTAGCGAATATATGAAAAGAAGGGAAAAAACATGTGGAATAGTAAGTGTTATATGTATTATATACGATGAAAAAATATCACTTACTTATGACAATCAATATCTAATATTGTATTACCTATTGACCACACAAGATGTGAGAAGTAAATTAATGAAGTCTGATGGTGAATAAACTCCAAAGCAGCTTCATCTTTAACTATTAACAACAAAGAACACATTGGTTAAAAAATGAATCAAAACAAAACGATAAACAACTAATTATGATAAATCCTACCTTTATGTACATTTAGAGTGATAGTACGTACAGCAATACGAACCATACCCTCCGGGTGAGCGAACAATTTAATCGCTTCAACATATAAATTAAACTCTCGACGAGACTAAAATATAATAATGATAATGAACAGTTTTTAAATGCGTTTTTAAAACAGCATTACCTCAATGTAGAAAAAGCTGATGGTATTTACGTTGAGACGAAAGGATAATATTTTTAGAAAGGAAATATAATAAGCCATCACCTAAGAGAGAGAAATAGAAAAGGGTTGGCAAATAGCTATGTGGATCTACTTCTTCGTCGGTGAAATCAAAACGATGCGTAATGATAGCATTTGTATGATTGTTTGACAGAAGGTAATCTGAAAAAAAAATTCAAATAAGGCAAATGAATACTTACAGATAGCTGTTTGATTTGTTATATTTTCAAATAAGATATTTAAAGTTTGTAGTAACTGAACACATATTCTTCGACTTAAATCTTGTTTCATATACTGCAAAAAGTACTCCAGAATATTCTTTTCAAGAAAAAAGCTAAATAATATTTTTTTAAATGAATCAGAAAGTTACTCCATGACTGAACTATCATTTTGATCACCCCAGATTAAAATTTCTGCAATTAATCGAAGAGCTTCAACTAGTATCCCATAGTTTTGTTCACTAACAGCTCGATTCTTTTGTAACACGGAGTGAAGATATCTATGGAAATAGAGGATAAATCAAACTCCGAGTCTTGGTCAACTTCGATCGAATTACTGAGAAGAAACAGTTAACTGTAATTCAAAAAACTAGCAAAAAATATGTAATCAACTAGGGTACGAATTCTATGAGAGACAAACATTTAACTTTACGTAAGAAACATGTGGTCAACAAGTGGCTTACAGAAATATGATTTATTCGCAAGTCAGTCAGTCAGTCAGCTACAACGACTGACTGACTTGCAAGGGTTGTCATAACTTAATATAAAGTATATCTATAAAGTAGTGGGGTTTTCAACTTGCAAATCAATGGCAAAAAACTGGGTCCTTTAACCACAAAGTTACAGTCAGTCAGTCAGTCAGTAACAACGTAGAACTTCGTGTTTAGAGATGTTATTTAAAGAGTATAATACAGTGAAATAAATTTGGAAGAGAAAAAAGAGACAATGAGGAATAAGGAGATCAAAATTTGGGAGAACACAAAGAGTGGATGCACCTGCTCCATTGAAAACGATTTTGAGCCATGTCATTCAAGGTCTCTAACCATCGGTTGCTATCATCTCGCGGTCCCCAACCAGGTAGTCTACACCTACCAACATGACTCAGTCCACTTGTCAGTGACTTCATGGATTTGTGCCATGTTGTGGTCTGGCCGCCCCTAGCTTTCTTCCAACTTACTTCTACATCATAAAACATCGCACGTCGAGGCAGTCGGTGGTTGGGCATACGTAACACGTGTCCCAGCCATCTCAACTGATGAAGTTTAACTACATCATCAATTGATTTGCCATCCTTACCTAGTACCCGTTTCCTAACAGTGCTGTATTACTTACTCGATGGTCCCAGGATATACGAGCAATATTTCGAAGACACCTATGATCAAATACTAGTAACCTACGAATATCCTCTACTCTTACCGGCCATGTTTCACAGCCATAAAGTAGGACGGAACGAACTGCTGCGCAGTAAACCCGTCCTTTGGTTGACAGACGGATATCTCGCCTACGCCATAAATGACGCAAGTTGGCAAAAGCTAGTCAAGCCTTCTGTATCCGTGCTGAGATTTCGTCACACACCAAACTACAAGGGCTGATGAGACTTCCAAGATAAGTGAAGCGATCGACACGCTCAATTACTTCACTCCCTATAATTAGTTTGGGTATCAATGCAACCCAATCCTGAAGCAACATTTTGCATTTCGAGGGGGAGATTCGCATCCCGAACATGCTTGCATTGTTGCTTAGAGTGGTCAGAAGACTCTGCATTTTGTCAGCGTTTTCGCCAAATAAAACTATGTCATCGGCATATTCTAAGTCAACAAGTGAACCTCCCGATAGAAGTTCAACCCCTGGAAATTTAGATGAGGAGAGTGTTATCTCTAAAAGTACGTCGACCACAAAGTTGAACAAGAATGAAGAGAGTGGACAGCCCTGACGAACACCACTTGAGGTAATCAATTCTGATGACAGTTCGCCATAAGCTCTCACTCTACCAGTTGTGTTCGAGTAGAGAGCCTGTATAAGGTTAATGTACTTCTTTGGTACTCCTTTCAGTGACAAACACTGCCATAGAACCTTACGATCAACAGAGTCGAATGCTGCTTTAAGGTCGAGAAATACTACGATTGTGGGGCGCCTGAACGTGTGTCTGTGTTCTAGAACCTGACGTAGTGTGAATATGTGGTCTATACAACCACGTCCAGGTTGAAAACCAGCCTGGTTTTCTCTAGTCTGCTCTTCACGAGCTTTAGTTAGGTGTCGAAGTATTATTGAAGCTAATATTTTAGACACTATATTAGTCAAACTGATTCCTCTGTGATTGTCACAAAAGGACTTTTGTCCTTTCTTATAGACTGGCACAATCAGTGATTGAGACCAGTCAGATGGGATTACGTCTAGTTCCCAGATTCTACCTAAGACCTCAGTTAATCTCATTGCTAATACTGGACCACCATCCTTAAAAAATCTCAGGAGTAAACCTATCAGGGCCTGTTGCTCTCCCTCGCTTCAGATTTCCTATGGCTTTTTCAACTTCGTAAAGAGTCGGAGGACGTACACTAACTTGCCATTCAGGTTGACTGGCGATTGTAGGAAACCGAAGTGTGGCTGAAGGCCAGTTGAACTGATCCTTAAAGTGTTCTGCCCAATCTCCTGGATTGAGAATGTACAATATTCCATCTTTCGCTACCCACCACCACAAAGTTACTTCTTGAGTGGAGCTCACGTACTATATATGACTTCATCTACTAAGTAACAGCTATTGATATCATTCGGTTTCCCAACACGAAGTAGATAGGGATGAGATCAATCAAGTGAGATATCAGTTGGACATATAGTGCGTAAAAATGTAGGATCTTTCTTGATCAACCTTGCGTCAAAACTCTTAATAAAACCATGAAACATATGACACATAGAACAAATGAACAAAAAACCAGGTATCCTACATTATCATGTCCTAATGGATAGCAATGAATCAGCCTGGAAAGGACCCAGTTCCTTAAACGCCACTTTACACAACTGAACTGAACAAGTACATCGAGAACTCTGATATTTAAGTACCTCAGAGATGAAAGTTCCCGTATAACATATTTAACTCCTGGCTTGTTACTGGGAAATGGGTAAACCCGGTTTTCGAGCAGTTCGGGAGACTTCAGTGAAGTACGTCCATCAACCCCGAGGTAGTTCAGAAACGTGCTTGGTACACCTACCTGGAACCTGTTCTGAAACGCGGTGAACTCGCAAGAACCAAATTAACACAAATGGACCATCCTTCATCTAATTTCCAAAAACGGGAAGAAATCTAGCCCAAACTGTTCCAAACTCGTATATCAGCCCCAAGCATGAATATAATAGGATGTTCAACAGGCGATCGAATGAGAAAACTCACTGTTTAAGAATATCACTTTTAATGAAGTCCCATGTTAACATAGAAAACATAGTTGACACGTAGTATTTTAGAACAGAACAGTAGGATTTTTCACTGTAACTGGAAAGTTTTCCGCTTTCCCCCTGACTTCGAAGATAAATTCAATACAATTCCATGTTATTTATTTATAACAGAACAAACTTGGTGCAATCAGACACCAAGATATGAGTTGCTTAAAGCGAAATAAAGATATTGAGGGTGAAAACAACCCAAAAACCATGTAATACAAAGGAAACAAGTTTAGCTGCAGACCAACAATTCAAAGATTAGCGGGACCAAGATACATCTCATCCAGTAGCAATATACCTTACTGTTCATAAGCAACACAACAAAATATTACAGTAACACAGATACAGACTCCTTTTCTTTGTCACCTACGATGGTGTCTTTCACCATTGTGTTGAGAAATATCCATGACCCCATTCAGGAGATGAAGATAAACTAACTGGGTATCACTAGTTAGTTCAAACTGAATTATTCTGTCCTATGTGCAGCGGGCCATACGGAAACTTGTGACGAATATCTTAGCCTCTGATACCAGATTACACAGAAGAATGATGAAGCTACACTATGCTATATTGCTAAAACTGTATGCCAACGATAACCGAACTAACTTTGGTCGACGAGGATACACCCTCGATAAGATCAATAATCTACCGCTGAAAAAACTTAAATTTTAAATGTATAATATGGTTATACATAACTTATGTTTAGTCAAGTATTTAGTCAGTTTTGGACGCCTCGAGAGGCTATATTTGCTAAAGGCATTCACTAATTGGGGATAAAAAGCAGTATACCCCCGGCTGCTTAGAAAGTCACAAACGCCATAATGAAGTATTTACGATATTTCCCATAGTATTTGTGGACAAATACCTCACGAACGTCACGAAATGAAGCAACTCCAACGCTGAAAGTGTTTGAGAGTCTAAATTACAACGTCAACGATACTCAGAAAGTCCTTGACTAAGTAAGAATGCAGGTCAAATGAAAGCTATACATAACAATAAGGTAGGAAGTATGCTCCGATTTCTATTTAATATTCCTGTTTGAGGGAGAGAGATGAGTCATACACGGATTTTTGACAAGAAAATGGATCTGTGGTGACTAGTTGGAGACTACTTTGCCGTGCATTATACTTCACACGAAATTACCTAGACGTATATAAATGAACAACAAAGTAATGAATACATCATTGAAAGACATTGAAAAATTCGGAACGACTAGAACTAACTTCAAATTTTCAAGAGAATGAACCTTTTTTGGCTTCGAGAGACTACTTTTCCCTCGTCCGAACATCTTTTAGGTTGATACGCACATAGTCTTAGTACGCGCTGTCCAATATCCAAAAATGCTTGTGATGAATTGGACTAGTACGTTTTGATTTATACATGATGTAAAAGAGCATTTCTTTGGCAAATTTTAGCAGGCTGGTAGACTCACGTTGCTAAATACGTTCCGTCAAACCGGGAATGTGTCTGGAGATCGACTAGTTTTGAGTTGAGTCTGATTTTTCAGATCAGATTCAGATTTCTGTAGTAAGGACAGAAGGCCTACGGCCTATGTTGTTCCTTTTCTAGTATGCTTTTAAGAGTGTCCAGTCTTCTCTTGAAAGAGTCAATTGAAGGTGCGGACACCACTGCTTCAGGCAGCAGGTTCCAAGTATTGATGACTGGGTGTGAAAACCTGTATGTCGCAGGTATTTTGTTCGTTCTTGGCTTTTCTACTCGCCTGCTATGTCCTCTGAGGTGTCCTGATCTAGTGAGAAGAAAGAGAGAGAATAAGTTAGGACCGAAATAATTTCTCAGTATTCTGTACATCAATATTAGATCTCCCCTTAGTCTGCGGTAGGACAGAGTAAAGAGGTTCAGTTTTTCAAGCCGCTCTTTATATGATAAACCCCGGAGTTCAGGAATTGCACGCGTATCTGCCCTCTGTACCTTTTCTAGTATGTCTGAGTCACCTTTTAAACAGGGGCTTGCAGCCTGAACACAGTTCTCTAACTTAGTTCTCACTAAGGATGTGTATAATGTGGTGAACATGGTAGTATCAAACTTAGTTAATGTCCTTTTTAAAGCCCAGAGGGTCCGAAACCCCTTAACTGCAACCTCCCGGCAATGGGCCGACGTCTTAAGATCATTGTTCACTGTCACCCCTAGGTCTTTATGAGACCGGACTACGGGTAATGACACATCCCCTATGTTGTACGTATTAACCTTTGAATCCCCCAAGTGCATGTAGACACACTTTTCCGAGCTGATAGGCATCAGCCACTCTTTAAACCAGTTTATCATATTATTTAAGTCCGTCTGAAGAGTAAATGCGTCTTTGTCTCCAGTTATTACTCGCCAAATTTTTACATCGTCAGCGTATAATAACATTGGAGACTGCACTATACTTGTAAGATCATTAACGTACATTATAAAAAGTAAAGGACCTAAGACGGAACCTTGGGGTACTCCACTACGTACTGATCTCCAGATGGAGCACTTGGAATTTATTCTTACTTTTTGCCTACGACCTACTAGGAAATCCTTAATCCATTTTAAAAGAGGTCCAAGAATACCAAGGTCTGCCAACTTCAATAGCAGTCTATTAGTTGGCACTTTGTGTATTGAGGATAAAAGACCAACGGACTGTGCTATTCCCTTTTAGTAGGTCTCTCTGAGCCTTGTTCTACTGAATGGCTCAAGTGAAAGTGTGAACACTACTTCCCCGAATAGAAGGTTCCAAGCGTTTATGACTCAATGCGAAAACATGAATACCACATATATTTTGTTCGTTCCTCTATTTTGAATCCCTTTGTGGTGCATTCTAAATCTTTCTGATCTTTTGGGGAGAAGGAGAGTAAATATGCCAGGTTCAAAGCCATTTCTAAGTATTCTATACATCAAAGTCAGACCATCTCCGTATATACGGAAAGACGGGGTAAAGAAGTCTAACTTCTCAGGCCACCCTATGTATGGTAGACCCAGAAATCCTGTACTTGCAGAGATAGCTATTTTTCACTTTTTTCAAGATACTAAAGACATATCCTAAACATGGGCTTGCAGCCTAAACGCAGTTTTCAAGTTTGGACCTCATTAAGGCTGTGTATACTATGGTAGACATATTTGTACCCAGCTTGGTAAACGTCTGTTCGTATGGTTCTAAGCCTCTTGGCTGCAATCGCATGGCAATAGACTGTTGTGGCTCACCACTGCCCTAAAATCAATATAAGACAGGTCTAAGGGCACCGAGGCTTCTCCAATGCTGAAGTCATTCACTCTTTAATCTCCGATGTTCATGTAGACACACTTGGGCACGTCGATAGGCGTCGGCTAAGCGAAACGTCTAGGTCGGACAGGGGAGCACGTGCATCCACACCACCTGATACTTACGGTCAGACTTTGACTTTATAGACATAAAGTAAGATCCGCGATATAAAGATAAGTGGAAGTTTATCTGCAAGTAGGATAAAATGTAAAGGACCTAAGAAATAGACTTACAGTGCTCCACTAAGCACTGGTTTCCGTGAAGAAAATCTAAAATGCACACTTTCATTTTGGCCTACCACGAGGTCTAGAAATTCCTAGGTTTTCCACATTTATTAGGTATCTACCATGCGAAACATTATCAAATCCTTTTCTGAAGTAGACGTACACAGCCTCAACTGGCACCCCACTCCTAAATGACTCCTTCTATCTCCGTCATGCTAAAAAGAACTTAGATGTTTGAAAAAAGCCCTCCCGAGACCATGTTGTTTGCCGTTAAACAAGCTGTTAATCTCCATCAATGACATAATGGCATTTTTCATAACTCTTTCCAGTATTTGACCTACGATTTTGTTGAGGCTGACAAGTCCGTAATTTGGTACAAGTTTTTTCGACCCTGTCTTGTGATTTGAAGTGATGATTGAATCCTTCTAACCCTTAGGCAACTTAAATCAACTAGAAGACATCTTGAATATCGTAGTCAGCAAAGTAGCAATATAAAGTGCGAATTGTCTCCAGATTTGGGGTATAACTGACTCGATCCTGTTGATTTTTACGTGTCTAAAATGTTTTTTGCCTTTGCTATGTCGTCTCTATTGAAAATCACAGCTAGTAGTATTGGTTCTGGGCCTAGTTCTTTATTGAGAAAAGGCTCATGATGAAACACTGACACCAAGCAATCGATCCTGCATTCTGCTTTGTCTTGGTCTTTTTCTGTCATTTGTGGTGATTGTTTTCTTTGTCTAAACCAGGAATCCATGGTTTCATTCTTGTTACAAAATTGATGAGAACAGCCTCTTTGAACATGCTTCAACACCTTTTAATTAACTTAAATAAGCAGTGAATCTTCCTATCTATCCGAGGATGTGCAGCATTTGTATTAACTGATAATTCCTTTGTACTTGATGGCCTGCTGATTACGAGTTCCAAATATGATACCGTCGGTTGTACTCATCTAGTTCCACCTGACTCACGTTGTACTATTTCTCATTTCAAAATCCCTATGGAGTCAAATCTTGAACAGTTGAATATTAAATAAGGTGTGGATGTCTTTGAAGACCATCTGGATTGATTCAAAATCTGGTTCATGACTAAGAAAGATATGGAACATGATTAATTCGCAGCTTACTTCCTGATATTCATCATCAAAGAAGCGTATAACCTATTGAAGAATCTAATTTCATTGTCAAGTCAATCTCTCCAGGAAATATAAATCAGTGATAGATATGAATGTAAAGAGAGAGCACAGTTTCATAAAATGAGTTATGGTGCAATTATGGTGACCATTTAGGAACTCTCATTCGTGATCGGTTGATTTTTGATATCAATATACCGAATTGTTACGGAAGATACAATCTTCACTGTGGTGGATTACTCAATTAGTGTGATATTTTATAAGGTACATTGATCATAAAATTACTAGGGATAACACTTCTTATATATAAACGCAAATAATATCAGTAAGCTTCGTATTGTCAGTATGACAGTTGACGCGCTTTATGGAGGTTGTGTTGCGACGTGCAACTGATAGTCGGGAGAAAACCCACGTAAAGTTGAGAGCTTCTAGAAACCGCAAGCTTATATCCTTCTGGAATATCTCAGATAATAATGATTGCGCAGGTCATCGTCATACGTTCCATACGTGTTTCAGTGGTACACCATGAAGGTCCTTAAAAGTAGAGTAAAAAAAGAAAGGATAAGAAGCTGAGCAGACAGTGTTCATGACTACTGGAGTGAGGTCATTTGTGATGGAATAATAAAGATATGACCACTTAGATTTATTCTCCTTTATTAAGTTAATTCCTAAACAAGTGCATTCTAAAATGCTAAAAAAACAGGGGTAAATATAATAATGAATGGACAAGGAACTGTATAAATGGAAGTTGTTTAAAAAAATCTGAAAATGTAGGATTATGTGTAGTTTAAAAATGCAATGCTGAAAACGGTGTCCTGATACACAAATGGCTATCTCTTCTTTCTCATCAAGCTTATTTCAGCTGATTTTTATTTTTATAGATTTTATAGGGTCATGAGCAGACTTCGTTTTTAGCAAATCGTCTCGTTTTGCTTGTAATGGGATTACTCGGTAGGAAGTGAAACCAATTCAACTTCACAAACACGATTTGAAGTGGTATTTTGCATAATAAATTAGCATCGACAGCATTGGTTCGTGACATCCCACTTGACCGTGATGAGCCGTAATTTAACAAAATGTTCTGCCCTACAGACATTAGTGTATTGAAGTTATTTCTAAAGTGTGTTGAAATTAGACATATCCAGTCGGTTTGTAAAATTACTATTCATTTCGCCGCAAGTAATATTAAACTTTGTAATTCAGATCACATTAATTTGGGCGATCCCAATGATTAGATGCTATAGTTATTTACAACTTCCAGTAATTTACTTCACAATAAAAAACAATTATATTCGCCCAGTCATGCTTTTCACGATTTTTTTGTTGACTCACAGTGTCGAATCCATCATATCAGTTGGAAAATTTAAGTCATTAAATTCCTGCACTATAGTTAAGCATCAATACCAATGGCTAGTTACATCTCGCTATCCCATCTTTTATCTTGTGCAGAGCGGTTCACACAATGAACAGTAGCAGTACTCAACAAGAACATTACTACTGAAACAATGGCCAGTGCCCCCATCGAACAACTAAGACTACAAACCTTGGACGCCAATTCGTATCTGAACTTTTCCGCTGTCATACTACAGTCCTAGGAATCACATGATTTCAAACGATCGCCTACCATTCACTAGCTGACGGTTGGGAGGATGGCTTCATCGGCAATCAAAGGCTTCACTCTCAGATGCAAAACTTTTCACAGTGGACTGATACTCTTTTGCCCGTTTTACTTGGTAT